TCAGTAAAAATATCGGCTCTTTGCTGCTTTAGCGTCAGATAACTGGATTCACGGTTGACCTGGATTGCTAATTTTAACGAATTATATGTCATTATTGTTCATTGTTTCTATTCTTCAAGACAAAAGCAATTGATGCAATTTTTAAAAAATCCTTTTTCTCTGTTCATTGAGGAAGCATTTGTTTGAGCATCTGTTTTACTGATTTATTGATTCATTGATTGGTTTTGAGTGGTTTTACTTTGTTTACAGCCTCACCTTCATTTGTTGTAGGTTTAGGTATTAAAAACTGTTTTGTTTCAGTTGCAAATGAAATGAAGCTGAAGCAGCGGTGACTTCTGTACCTTTTCAGATTATTTTTAATTACATAAAGAACTTGTACCTTAGCATTTCTTCTTCTTGTTTTTGGCAGCAGGTAATCATCGCTCAAACCAGGCCCAGTTCTACTGGAGGTTTCTTGATGTTACAGGGGATTCCTCTCCACATGCCTGCTCCAATTGAGGGCTTTATGCAGTCAAATGTGTTTTCTTTGATAACTTCCTACCAACTAGAGAGCATAAACTGAACTTGCTTAATTTGTACTTTAATTATCTTATGATGATTAAAGTACAATCATTGTCCATCATTAGCATCAACTTTATAAGTGATTCCTTGGTAGCATTGTCATTTTACCATGGGGAAAGCGTGAAGGCATGTATGGAAAAAATGAGTGGGCTAAGTATTAATCCTTGGGGCATCCCATAAAAGATGAGAATCAGTTGACACATGAACTAGATAAACCTGTGGAAATGTTTTTTTGGGAGTTGGTCTGAGTCAGCAGCTCAATGTTACTCACGGTGATGATTCTGCTGTGAAGCCAGAAGGATTTACTCACCAGGCTTTTCATTTACATAAAAATGATGACGAGTTTCCTCCTAGCAAAGTTTGACGAGCAACAAGGAAACATGGGATCAGGTTCTGGAAATTCCTGGAGGTTTTTCCATCCCAGGAGTCTCCAGGAAACACAGCATCCAGCTGAGAGCCAAAATAACAAAATCTGCTTTCTTCCTGCATGATGCCTCCAACCCGTTAAGCTTCACCCAACTTGTGTCAGGGTTCAGCTCGCAGAGGGAGGCGTGTAGCAGTCCGTGATCAGAGTGAATTAGAGCTATGTGTGACATGCAAAGCAGAGGCTCCAGAATGTGACAACAGCTGAGTTATAAAGTGAAGCTTTCCCGCCTGAGGGGAGAGCAGACGATGACAAAGAGGCCCCAGCCTGCTGTGAACAGTCAGCTTCTTTTGGAGCCTCTTTAAAACTCAGAACTGCATGTGGGCTGTAAGTTAAAGCTACGGGACTCAGGCATGTTAAAGTAGAAAGGTTAATTAATGACGAGGGATCATTACCATCTTACAAATCATGTTGGCTCTCGACAAAAACCCTCCCATCTGAAGTGAAGGTAACGTGTAAAACATACAATTTGCAACTGCTATCAGTTTTAATGAAAAATAGGATTTTGATTTTAGCTTGGGAGAGTCAAAAGATCCACTCATCAAGATGATATGAAATGATTTAAGGAAAAGAAAATTTGACTAATTTTAGCTAATAAACATAGCTTGTTATTGGAAATTTTGTCAGAAAAAAATAGTGAAAACTCAGTAAACACCACATACCTAATGTACGTTAATTTGAGTTTCAAAAAATGTGCTTTACTTTTCATTCACTCACATTTCTTTGTCAGAGTAAGAGAACTTTTTTCTTTCAGGATCTTCAGGTTTTCGCAATGTGCTGTTTCAGCCCAACATTTTTAGGCAATAACTTTCCTGACACAAGAGTTCATTTGTTTTATTTTGTTTGGCTCACTGTTACACTTCTTACTGCATTTCAGGCCATATTAGGCAAGCGCTGTAAAGTGAACATCTCACCTTTCTTCCCCTGTGTGACTCAAGCGGAGCACAAACACAGAGCTGAGGCGAAACCGCTCTCACATTTCCTGCACACACTTCTTTCTTTCTTTCTCTCTTCCTTTATTTCTTTTTTTTTTTTACACAACTAAGAGGGATTCCAGCAGGATTTGTTGCTGTAATCCTGAGGTGCAAAACATGCAAAACATTTTTAAAAATTCATAGATATCAAAGAAACCTAAATTCAGATTTTACAGGAAAAACAAAAAACATTTACATTTTAGATAACAAGTCAATAAATGATGTTTTGTCAATATTATTTATCTTGATTCAATTTGTTTTGCTTTTGCTTACATCTTTTCATAAACTGGAAAACAGAAGCTTCTAGAGAAACTTCTGTATTCCACTGACTCAGTTTTGGTTTTTATTTATTACTCTCAAATGTATTTTTTGTTTTGCTTTTTGCTTTTTGTTTTGTACTTTTGCTCTTTTTGCTCAGCACTTTGTCTTGTCTTATCACATTTCACAGGTTTGGAAATCACTGACAGATTGGACTTTTTACACATTTTGTTCTGGACTCTTGCTTATCCTCTCTTCCCATCATCTCACTCCACCGGTTTTTAAGTAAGATTTGGATCTGGTGATTGAAATGGCTATTAAAAGACGCTAATCATGAATATAGCCTTCTTACAAAATTCTTGATTCTCATCTCCCTTCTGTGCTTCGTCTGGAATTTATCCCATTGAGCTAAATTTCTCAGGATGGATTTTCATCTTGACCAATCAACGGTCGGAGTTTCTGCACCGCTTTTGAATAGACGAAGTGGATGAAGTCATTTCCACTATTCCAGATATTGAGCGATGAAAGTCAGAGCAGTATTGTCTATGTTGATATGGTTTAGCTAAGAAGAGTTTGTCTGACTTATAAACATCAACACAACTATACCTGAGTTCAATAACATTATTATTTTGTCTTTCCAGGAAATTTCTTAATGACCTGAAATTAAAGGTTGACTTTTAATTTCAGTGTCTGATTACGTCATGGCTTCATACACATCTTTATCAGAAATGCCAATAATTGCTGAGGATTATGTATAATACTCTTCATGTGGTTACCTTTGTGGAGATATTTTATAGGCTCATCTATACATGATATCACTTTGAAGCGTCTTTTGTATTAACTCTTTCATACAGCCATGCAAAAAACGCTCAATCAGCCCTTCTATTGGGGAACTGGTTGTCTTTTCCCATCATCAAAATTTCATTATGCTTGTTGTTTCTGCAAGCAAACATAAACTCACCAAAGGCAGCACACAATAATGTCCAGCTGAAGCCATGGGAAACATTTTCAGACTACAGAGCCCATGTTTTTGTGAAAAACAACAATAAGAAAGGGTGCAGACTGTATACCAGGAACAACTTTGAGGTCCTTCACAAGCTTTTACCGGTAGAGGACACAAGTCATACGGACCAGTGAGAATGAAACGGCTCTTTAGTGCAACAAGAAAAGGGATGGGCACAAGTGATGAGGTAATCCGGCTTTCATATGTTCCCAACAAAGAGCTCCGACAACGCTGTATCTATGTGTGGTTTTATTTAAAGGGACGCACATCAGTCTGGTGGGTTGTTTGAAATCAGTATCTGAGAAAACGATGATTTAAGTAGCTATGAATACATTTTAACTTATATTTTTAACAATGGTAACAAAATTACATACCATGAATCTGTAGTTTTATTCTTGAAAGTATTTCAAAAGTAACTTTTCCAGGTGTAGCAAATTTATTTATGACTTTCAGTTTTCAAATAGTTCAGTTGAGTGAGCTGCAGAATATTTTAATGTTTTATAAGCCTGCTTTTATATAACAGATGTTTGAAGATATTCTGCATAGAAATATATTTTCCTCACTGTCTGACTTTAAATAAGACAAAATCTGTCCTTATTAGGTCAGATGGGATTGCAAAGATTCTTTTTATTTGCTCAATGTTGGAAAGCAAGAGAAATGTTTCAATGTAAATTCACTTCAAAACAAAAGTAAGAGCTTTTAAAGTTCCGGGTCATTGGTGAAACTGTCCCACAAGCCAAAGTGAAACCAGGTTTATAACAACACGAACGACGAAGCAGATTTACTCCAAAACCAAAACTAAACATCAAGGATTGAAAATGCACTCAGAAACGCTTTTGTTTTTGGTGGACATATTCTGGGAATTAGAAAAACTAAATGCAAGTTTTTGGCCCTAATGATCATTTTTATGTTAGGAGAAAAAAGGGAACTCCTGCAAATCTTCCTATGTAGGAAATATGGAAGTGTCAGCATCATGTGAAAGAGCCAGTCTAAGTGTATGAACCTTATTTCTCATGTTTCTAGTTGTACTGACAGATCTTTTTATTTACCTATTGATGAAAACAACATTTTTGTTGTTTCTGTAGAAATGTTGTTAAAGATCAGAGAGACTTTTCTTTTATTACACTGAACATTAGAAAAAGTTAAAACATGTGAACCACAATTATCATTTTATAATTTTGTACACTTAAGACCAAAATTATTCACACTCCTAATAGATATGTGTTTACAGTAATCAGACACATAATTTTCTAAATGGCAGAAAGACATGAATAATTAATGATCTGGCATTTTAGAATACAAATTTAGATTTTAAAAAGTGCTAAAACCTGCTTCAATTTCCACTGCTTTAGTTTATTTTGAAAGCTATTGTCTCATTTATGATTGAAAACAAACTTCTTGGTCTAAATGACAATAAACAAAAACACAATGTCACATCTGAATCTGCCAGTCGTGGGAAAAATGTTGGGCTACAAATATTTTTTATCCACCATGCAAGTGGGAAACAATTTGCAAATTATTTTTCCAAACTAATTATTTTTCCTGCAAATATAAATTTAAAGAACCGAGAAAGAAAGAAAAAAAGTCCTGGGTGAGGTTAACACAGATTGTGCATAAAAGTCACTTTCATCTCCCAACCAGAACTGCACAAAACCTCCATGCAGGTCTTTCCTGGTCAGATTGGCTACACCTGGAGTGACCCCTGAGCTCCACCCACTCCAGCCCACGCTCAGTCGCACCTTTATTTCCACGGAGCTCCGCAGCTCTTTAGGACCCAGTGGCTGCTCCGTGGAGGCAGGCAGCGAGGACTGAAGCAGACAAAGGCAAGCGAAGAGACGGCGTGCTGCTATCCTGCTGCATCGACTTGCAACACCCTCCAGCTGCGACGCAGGTGAGTCCGCCACCGGCTACTGGAGATTATGATGCTCTGATTTACTGCATGAGAAAATCTAAAATGGGGATGTTTTTTTAAATTTTTTTTTTTTTTTACTTTGACTGGACAAGTTGAGGTGTCATTGCAGTGGAGTGTTTGCAGTAGGTGACTTTCGGCTGCGCCTCGGAGCAGGTGGATTGGAGTAGGTGTGCGCACACCCAGCCCCCTCTTCATCCAGCCGGGGAGAAAGTCACATTTTCAAAGCTGCGGTTCTTTGCCATGTGGCCGGGATCATTCATCTGACATGAGACCAGGAACTTTTTTTCTTGATTCCTGCTTTGCGCTTAAAAATAATCTCAGTGGTAGACTGGTTCTGGAAATTAGTTTCCTTGGAGAAAAGCCAGTGGATTGTCTGGGTAAACCTGCTTGTGTGTGTGCGTGTGCGCGCGCGCGCGTGTGTGTGGAGGGGTGGGGGGGTCATTTATTCTATGTTGCATGCCTTTGTGTTTTGTGTTTATGATGTAAAGCACTTTGAAATGCCTTGTAGCTGAAATGTGCTATACAAATACAATTTGATTGATTGATTGATTGATTGATTGATTGATTGGGTGTTGTGTGGGTGGTTCAGCCAGTAACACAGAACCAGCCAAAAATATCAATGACACCCTGCAGTGTTACTGCAGTGCTGATGAGGATGGCGAGTCTGGCTTTCATTTTGGTAAAAGGGGGGAAAAAAACACAGATTTATTTTTATTTCTTTCTTTAAACTGTGTAGTTGAATTGTTTGTCTTTTAATGGTGATCATGTAGTTTAAGTTGAAGAATATCAGATTTTTCTTTCCTCTGAGAGAGGAGGTTGCACTGGGTGAACCTGAGCCGGCTGCAGCAGCAGTGATGGTGATGTCACTCTGAAGCCAGGCTTCCTCCTTCAGACAATGGCCTGTCCTGGTTGAGTCTCCACTGGGGAAGGGTCACTGTTGGCTCTGCCTATTAGTGCAGCAGATGGCCCCAAAACCTGGCCTTTGTCAGCTGAGGAGCATCCCCTTCCCCAGAGGTCCCACCCCTGTCACAGCGGTCCTGTCATAAAAGACGGCAGTCAGCAAGTCAGCCATGTGGTTAGCATGACTGGAGCGGCCCTGCCACATGGTGACTGCATTTGTTCATCTGAAAGTCCGAGGAGTGCTGAGGTGTTAAACGGAGACGGATTACAGTCAGAGCCGGAAAAAGATTATTTAGGACCCGGAGCAGAATTTGACATGAAGCCCCTGTTGCACCTCGTGTGGTTTGTGGGAACAGCTTTTCTAAAATCTAACATTTGGTTTAGTATTGTTCAGAATTTATACCCAAAATTTATATATATATATATATATACAAACTCGAAAATGTTTCAAAATTATAAACATAAAAAAAGCCAATTGAAGAGGATTATATGTGTCTGGCATTAGGTTTCGTTTTGACAAACGTGTCTACAAAATTGAAGTTTTACAGTTTATGTATTCAGTAGGTGAAGTCACAGGCTCATAGCGCCCCCTACTGGCCTGGAGGCCCGAAGTTGCAGCATTTCTTACTTTAACCTTTTGTCAGCTTTGGCTATAGCTAATACATCTCTTTGCTTTAGTATTTATCAACAACACATTCAGAAGATTTAGAAAAGAACAAATGCGTTTAATTTAATTTAATTTTTTAAAATAAAGTGTTATAATTTTTAGAGTCTGCGTTTAATAATTTTGTGTGAAGAACTGCAGAAGGAACAGGGACTAAAGCTTTACAATGTTTCACTGTAAAACTCGGCTCTGAATCCAACAGGAACCTAAAACCACATTTTAAATATTTCATCTGTATCCAAAATACAGATCCACTCACATGCCAAACTGAGTGTTTGGTGATTTGGATCACCGAAGACAACATATTAAAGTTAATGAAAGCCAGTTTTTCTGACTTCATATTGCTTCCTGTCAGGTTCTGTTGGGTCATAAAGAGATACATGAGAGATTTGATTTCTAAATTTAATCCCGGCTTAAAGGTTTTAAAAAGAAAACAAACGGATGCATATGAAATTGCTGAAGCACATTGTTCATCTTTGCACAGTTAACTTCCTCTTTCATGTGGTGGCAATAGGGGGGCTGTGGGTGTTTAATGGGTGTTAATTGTTTGATCATTTAAACATGTGAAGTTACTGTTTTGGTTTGGATTTTTCTCCAATATTCAGGTAGGTTTTGAGAGACTTCATTTTAGAAAGGCTTCCCCTGGATGCTGCGGACCGCACAGGGGGGTTATTGTTTCACTGCTTTAACAGGTGTTACAGGTTCTTAGGAGAGTTAGTTCTGGCATTTTATGACTTGGATCATGTAGCATAGTGGTGCACAGAAAAATCTCTTAATGCCACAGTTTGTTCTCTTAAATATTTGATACTGCTTGGAGATTCCAGCTGTGTGTGTGTGTGCTGAGCCGTAACTGATATGCAACATCCATCTAAGTGGATATCTTAAAAGGAGGCAAACACTGAATTGGCGCTCTTATCTTGTGAAAATCACATTTCAGCAATTTAGAAGAGGTACTTTTTGGATTTTGTTCTTCTAATCATTCCTTTTTTGTGCGCATTTATTATAAGTCTGATGGTGATTTGAGTTTTTAGCAGATTTGAGCAGTGAGAGACGGATTAGGATGTCCTGGTTATTGACGATCAGTTTCAGGTGTTTCCCTTCTTGCCCACGCTTTATTTAAAGGGTTCTGCAGAAATGTGTGCACACAGTAGATCCAAACTAAGCATCAGACAGGTCGGGCTCTCACTACTTCGATTGGTGCTTGTTCTACCAGTCAGAACGATGCATGATCACTCTGATCAATGACTGATGCGGATAAAGGTGTTTGTCATTTAAGAGACTTAATTATGTTTCATATTTATTGTTCTGGCATCAAACACTTGTATGGAGGAGGTCGGCCTGTGTCAAATTTAAATAAATGTATCACATTTTACGATCTTCTGTAAAATGAATGACAGCAATGAAGCTGCAGGGAGAGCTGAAGTTCATAAAATGTTCTTTAACATTAAGTGTCAGAAAAAAAAACACCTCCTGGTCGTTTTTTAACATTTTATGTTTTAGTTTTTTCAGTTGCTGAAAAGAATATGCTGGCCAGTTTTAGCACCAAGACTTTTTCACCACAAAGTTAAATTTGCAGATTAGACTTTGCTGAAATGTGTGAAGCCTAAAGGTGATAAAAAAAACTAGCAGAGCTGAAAATGCAGGATTTTAGGGCTCAATTCAGGACTGCAGTGTTTGCATTTTTTAAATTAAATTTTTCTTCAGTTTAAGAGGTACAACAAGATGCAAGTGAGACACATATGTGTTTTTCCATTTTTGCTGTTGTTTAAAGTCATCAATGATGTTGTGTTAGGGGTCCATTTTTTTCAAAACGATGGCAAAATGTTTAGAATTGACATTTAAATTAGCGTTTTTTTAGCATTTAATTTTGGCAGCTAGGTCAGCTCAGCTAGCAGCTGAATCGTTGGTCTTGGTGTGTGAAACATTTCTAAATCCATGATGTTTCATAGCAGAGTATGGGAGATCAACAGGTTAAAATAAATCAACTTTGCTGTTCTCTGTTCAGCCTTCCTGTTATCAGCTGGAATATTGCTCTCTTAATGGACTGCAGACATAAATTGATGTAGTAGAAAATGGTTTTCTTTAAATAATTTGTCTTTTTGTTTCATTTTAAATACTGAAATATCAAACAGTCTTCATCTCTCGGTGTAAATGTTGACAGCATTGTTCCAGTTTGTAATCGAATCATTTCTTCAGATTAATCTTTTTGTTTTGTTTGGTGTTAAAAGAACTGAAAAAAGTGCTCTTCCACTGTGCCACTATTTTCCTTAAGATGGCATTTTTGTCTTTCTTGTAGACTGCCATACAAGAATCTTTTTTCTAGGAGTAATTTCATAAATTCATGTCCATCCTTCTAGCTTTTTATTGACTGATGCTGCCATCAAATATAAAATGAAGCCACAAGAACCATTTAAAGTTAATCAAGCGAACAGGAAACAATCCGACCACATGACCTTTTGAAGTGGTTTGGTTGAGTGACTGGCAGGACTTTCATTCTCTGCTTTTTGTACATGAAACCTTTTTACTCCTGCTTCAAGACAAATGATGTAGACTAGCCCTTTATAGATGCCCACGGTGACTAAGAAACTGACAATATTCTGTTACAACAGGATGAATGGATCTCATTGAGACAATTTGTTGTCTGCAGGACTGATTTTCCCCAACATTCACGACCACCACTGCCATCATGGAGCTGGACTTCGGGCATTTCGACGAAAGGGACAAGGCGTCCCGCAACCCGCGGAGTGGAAGGATTCATCCTTCCACTCCGCGGGGCTGTCTGCCCAGCCCCGCGCACAGCGCCCACTGCAGCTTCTACCGCACACGCACCCTGCAGGCTCTCAGCAACGAGAAAAAGGCCAAGAAGGTGCGCTTTTACCGCAACGGGGACAGATACTTCAAGGGCATTGTGTACGCCGTGGCCAACGACCGGTTTCGCACCTTCGGTTCTCTCCTGGCCGACCTTACACGCTCCCTCTCTGACCACATCAATTTGCCGCAGGGGGTTCGTTTCATCTTCAGCATTGATGGATCACGCAAGATCGCGTCTCTGGACGAGCTGGAGGAAGGTACGTTTATTCTTAGCTTAACAGAATAAGAAATTGTTATCACTTTGTCTGTTTTGGTTGTAGTTTGGTACCCAGCAGTATGTTGTGTTGTACCAGCAAACTAAGATCTAATTTTGGAGGGGATTTTATAATTTTTAGCTGATTTAATTGTGTAAAGCATTGTAGTGTATGGTCTCCTTTTACTTTTTTTGAATCTCACAAAGAACCATAGAAAAAGAATGTGGGACAGAAAAGCTGGTGAGAGTTGAGTGGAGCAAGGATGGAGCTACATACAGGCCAGAACTGAAAAAATAAAAAATAAAAACTGTTAAAAGCATAAAAGACATGAGAGAGGGCCCACAAAACCTTTGTATGTTAGAATGGACTAGTCAAAGCAAAGTCCAGAAGAAAATCTAATTGGTTTGACCTGCTCTTTAGATATTATCTGAGTTGGAGCCATTTTGGAAAGAAAAGGGGCAAAAAATCCCCCAGATGTTTACTTTTTAAAAACTTAGACAAAATAATGCATCAATTTCTGCTTCCCAAATATTAAGTTTGTTTTTCTGACTTTCTAATGCACTGAAACAACTTTAAACACATCACAAGCTTGGTGTCTCACCTTGCTTCTGCAAGGTGAGACACCAAGAAATGTGTAGAGATGACTATTGGCCGTCTTTGTTCTAGACTTTAAATCTAAAGGCTTGCATTCTTGTGGCCTCTGACATCAGTTCGAATGTAGCCGTGTTGGTGACTCGCAGATTCTTTAACAACAAAACTGCTGACTGGAGTCTGACTGCCTTGCAGATGAGTTTAAACAAGTTTAACTCCAGCAGCATCAGATTTGTCTCTGCTTCTTTTAACATTCATCTGTCTGGTCATGCAGAGCATTTGGTCTTGCCTTGAGCCATATGATGGTCAACAAGGGCGATTCTGGGGTCTGACATTGAGGGGTGATTCGCCCCCAGTAGGGCTGAAGCCCAAGAGAAGTCATTCGTTGGTGCATTTTTCTAAACACCCCTGCTTATTTACATACATTCACATAAGAATTTAAATCGTTTTGTCCAACTAAAACTGTTAACAACTACATGCAGGTCTGGAGAAAATTAAGAGACCACTTCACTGAACCCCATTGAAAACCTCCTGATTATTTCACCAAATATTGATTTCTGAACTCTTCCTGAGTTAAAACATTAGTTTTGTTGTTTCTAAACTAATCTAAACTTGTTTTCTTTGCATTATTCAAGGTCTGAAAGCACTGCATCTTATTTTTTAAAATTATTATTTTGACCTTTTCTCATTTTCTGAAAATAATACCAAGTTTTTGCTTGGAATTTAAGAAACATGTTGACAGTAGTTCAACAATCTTCATTTTACTTAAACATGTACCTATAAAGAGTAAAATTAGAGGACTGATAACTTTTTCCAGAGCTGTATTTATATGAAACAGAATCAGACTACATCATACCTCCCAACATCTGCTGACAATAATGAAACGCATCCAGCCGTGTAGTGACACAGTCCTAGTGGAGTCTGCTGCCTCAGAAATTAAAATTAAATCTACTCAAAACTTCAAATTCCAGGCATTTGAAAACCATTTTACTATGGGATTAATGAACCTTAAACCAGTTTATTATCAAGGTAGAAGGTCAGATTAATGACTAGTTTTTACTAGTCTTTAACCTGAACTTTATTTGAAAATCATACTTGGAAATTGCATTACCATTGTTTTTATCTGAACATTATGCGGCTGTTGGCCTTTTTGTCTTTAAACAAGAATGTATGTCCATCTCTGGAAAAGTAGATATTTTACTATTTTAGTTCACAGTACATGAAGTGGGTTTGGCTTAGTTTCAGTATAAAAAAACATTTTTCTTTACAAAGAAACGGCCTGACCCTAACATTCTGTGCTGTTGTTTAGTTTGATTATTCTTATGATTAATTTATTAATTGGATAAATAAAAAAACATCTGTAACTCTAAAATAAGAGCAGTATTACTATTGCATATCAATATCAGTCAAAATTTTCACATTTGAGTTTTCCTAACAATAACTTTTCTGTAGTTTAGAAATTTAACTTGTAACAATAACAGCTCCATTTTTAAGTTAACCTGAAGAAAAGTAATAGAAAAACCTGAAATTATATTAAATTTAATAATAAGGAGGCTTCCTTGCAAATATGCTTATAAACATGTCTATACTCCAGCTTTTGGTTGATGTATTTATCTTCAGCCAGTTTAATAGATGAACTCTGACCTTGCCCAGACATTTATAGCTTTGTGTTCAGCAATTTGGCACCTTCGATCGTAACACTTAGAAACATCTACCAGGTGTGTAAGGCCACCGATTAGATTTACCACAGGGGCCTGTGTAGTCAGCGCTTTTTATGGAGACACTAAAAAAAGAATTGAACACAAACAGAGCCAATATTTCATCATTTAATATGTGAACCAAAGAGCCACTTGTGTCTCCAGAGATTCAGGTTGCAGATCCCTGATCTAGCAGATGGAAAGTGTGATCCTCTCTCAATACAGCAGCTAAAAGTGCAGCACTAAAAGTGCAGCACTATAATGTTTAATTCATTGTTAAAATAAAATTTTGAAGGTTTAAAAAAGTATCAACTACTAAATATTCTAAAAAGACATTTATTTGGTATAGTTTCTTCAGACCATTATTGTTAAACTTAATGTTGATTAAGTTGAGTCTGCTGGACAGTTATGTATCGGTTCAAAACGAGACACATTTATGCCAAATATGGAACGACTCCATATTTTACGGGATGGGTGGCCACTGATGGTCAACACACTATCATCTGTTTAATTGAATTATGTACATTTTACATTATGTGACTTCTCTAAATGTAGGAGCGTAGCTCTGAATTTGATGTACGGGTTTAATTTATTCAAATCGAGGCTGTTGTGTTGAGCAGCTTATAGTTTGCTGCATGTGTGGCTCGTCTGCAGCGTGTCGGCTGGAGGGGCCATTTCATTGTGCTTCCTCTTTGTAGGATATAATTAATTACTCAGCCTCCTCTGCATAGAGTAATCTAGTTTTCTGCCCTTTGTCTTAGCTCGAGTTTCCCCATATATAATGTAATTGCTGCCTTATGGTTTCCATTTTTTCCTGTCATTGTCCTACTGATTTTTTTTTGTTTTTTTTTTCCTTAAAGATACCAGACAGGACAGCAAGAAAAAAAAAAGTTTCATCTGATCATTAAGTGCTGCTTCCTTGAAATTTGTGTAATTACACCAAGTGCACTTCTGGACTTCTGTGGCGATGTTGTGATAAGAAATTTATGGGTGTCTGTTTTTTTACTTTGGCCAGTTAGTCTTGGTTTTTCTTCTTTAGAGCAATAATAAAACACAAGAACAGCATTCCAATATTTTTTTTATTATTTACATTAGCAGCGCAGTTATTGCCACCCAGTGTGAGAGATTATTTGGAGAGGCAACATTATCATGGAGGGGACATTTTAGACTTACTTTTGAAGCTTATCCTGGCATTGTATGCACTGGTAGCATTACTGACTTCACCGATCCTCGGATTAACTCTGAGATTTCAGTCAGGCTGCTAATAAATCCAAATCCAAGATGTTATAAGACAAATTGAGAGCTCATAAAGATAAAATAGAGCAACGTAGCTGCAATGCCTTTATCCTTCCTGTTTTCTGCTGAAAGTCTTGATCTCTTTAGAAAACCACTGACATGGTTTGACATGACAAATAGTTTCCTTTCTGAATGGTTTTTAAAATGTTCTCTCTGACTCTGAAATGGCAAAGTATGCTTTCACTGTTGGGTTGAGCGGTGAATCTGCTGAGTTTGCATGAGACGACCTTCATAACTCTGCTTGTTTTCTACGATGTATTTTTGCGATACTGACTTGCTTTTTTTTTCTAGTGACGGATGAATAATTGGAAAGCATGTCTGTGACAGTGAGCAGCTGTTACTTTGGATTATTTGATATAATCAAGACTCCAAAAAGTTCTCATTCATGCCAGACCTCACATTTCGACCTCACTGCACTGAACAGGATTAAAACCCAACAATAATATGAAAGTGTGAATGCAGAAAGCATCCTGACCAGTTACTAGCTGTATAATCTGAAATTTGGGTCCAAAAGTATTTCACATGCACAGCGAGGACAGACGGATCCAAAAAGAAGATTTTGCCAACTAAAACAAATTTTTAGTAGTTGTAAATTGCAGGGCAAATTGAAATCTCAAGCAAATCCTTTCTTCTGAAGTTGTTAAAAACTTGAAACCTCAGAAGTTATTTAAAAAATTGTGCTTCAATGTGATGAATATCGACTTCCAAAGTTTCAGTAAATGAAGTCCAAGCAGGAAACAGGAAATCGCTTGTCGTGTTGCTGCAAATCTGAATTTAGGTGAGCCAAATATGGAAATGGAAAACTGATTGTATTTCAAACTGCTGAGGTATCAGGTACTGCATATTTGTTTAGATTTGGGTGAACTCTTCCTATGAGGAAAGATGAAATAAAAGTGGTACAGAGCAGAGTTTTCAAAGCGTAAAAATGGAAACTAGTAGTTCATCATGTCCCAAATTATTATGCAAGTGATATTTTCTTAAATGGGCGATGCAAATGATGGTCAAAATAATTTTCAAGTTATGAACTATTACAGTATAAATCAAATTTTATTGAACAAAGCTTTGCATGAGAACAGCATTTTTTTCAAAAATAAAAAACTCAAAATGCACTGTTCCAAATTATTATGCACAGCAGATTTTCTAAATATTTTATGGATTATAAAGAACTGCAAACAGTCATTCTTTGAATGTGCAGCATTAAGTGGACATGTACTAAAATCATAAGATATTTCAATCAAAAACATCTTAACAGACAGTTACATGTTAACATAAGAGCCTTTTTGAAAATTAATCTTCATGTACGGCTGGGCCCACTGCGACAGTTTCTGCTTGTGAGTTCTGGTTAGGAGCCAAATAGTCGGTTCATGCACCACAAGCCTCTGGAGGATCCTCCACCTTGAGGTTCCAGAGGCACCAACAGCTTCAAATAACTGTTTGCTGCTTTGTAAAGGCATTTTAACAGCGGCCCTCTTAATTCAATGAATTTGTCAAACACAAATCTTCATCATTATGCCTTTATCTGTACAAACCCATCTTTGTTCTGAATCAGCCACAAATCTCTTCATAGTTTAATGATAAAGCTTCAGTTTTTGTTACATATCTAATGTTTTCATACGGTTCTACACTATCTGATGATTTTCGTCAGCAGATCTTTTCTCTTTCCCACATTGCTTGAAACCTGTGGCCTGCTTAATAATGTGGAACATCCTTAAGTAGATTTTCTTTGAGCTCACCAGACAAACAAATCAACCAGCTTTCTGAAATTAATTATAGTGATTCAAAGAGCCCTGACACACAATACCATCTATAAATTTAGTAGCACAACAAAAAATGTGATCTTTATGACACTTGAATCCAATTTGCATAATGATTTGGATCACGGTGTAAACCTGTGGGAGAGTTTCACATACACAGAGGAATTCATGTAAAGAAAGCTAAAGTAGGGAAATGAAGTAGTCAGGGAACTTTTACTACTTCTCCAGTAAGTAGTCAAAAATACTTACTGAAGTAAGTAAGTACATTAGGGGGATATATTTTTTGTCTTTCTCCATTAGTGACTACATTAATGGCTTTCTGTCTCATCATGTCTCATTGATGCACTAAATAGGATTAATATAGAAGAAAATGAAAATATAAATTTAAGAGTAAAGATCATGTTTTTAAAACGTTTGCTTGGATCTTGCGGATTAAATTTACGAAAGATGATTTTGTATTTTTTAGTATTTTCTGCAAAACATTATGCTACTGGAAAATATTTTTAAAAGCTTTTTTATCAATTTTTCATTTGGGTGTTCATAGTTGACATTCTTACTCAGTAACTCTTTCATGTTTTTCTCTCAACGATTTGGCTTTGAGGAAAACTAATTAGGATATTGCCTTAAAAGTTGATGCACCAGTTTGAGTTTTGTGATAACTAATCATGAAACTCCTATTGGTGCCTCATCATTGCTATAAAATCAGAATAGAAAGCAACATTAAGAACTGAATGAGGAAACCCCCAACTACAACTTCTTGAAAATGAAGTAGATGCAGATTTATTAAATGCTGTAATTCCTCCTGCTGGTCTGGATCTCTCCTGGACGGCGTATTGGCTCTCTGCGATTCTCAGGTGTCAAATAGCTGAGGCAGCCTCAATACACTAACCCAGTTCTCCTTTCTGTCCCCAGGGGAAAGCTATGTTTGTGCATCTGAGAACTTCTACAAGAAAGTCGATTACACAAAGAATGTCAATCCTAACTGGTCTGTGAACGTCAAGGCCTCAGCCAGTCAGAAGGACATGCAGTCGCTGGCTGCCAAGGCCGCCGGCGATCCCAGAGAGGGCAAAGACTTTGTCCGGCCGAAGCTGGTCACGGTGATGCGCAGCGGCGTGAAGCCCCGCAAAGCCGTCCGCGTCCTCCTCAACAAGAAGACCGCGCACTCCTTCGAACAGGTGCTGACCGACATCACGGAGGCCATCAAGCTCGAAAGCGGAGTGGTCAAGAGGATCTACACGCTCGATGGCAAGCAGGTGCGTCTCGCCTTCAGCAGGGGCTGCTTGCTTATTCAGAAAAATAGTTTGCATCGTGACCTTTTCCCTGCAAATCTGAGCTTATTGGAAAATGAGATTAAAGTAGGGGGAAAAACCTGCTGCTTCCTAAAATTCAAATGGAATGAAATTTAAATTTCATTCCATTTGTGTTCATCAGACTGCATTTGTTTAGATTTCCTGTGGAATGATGAGGAATAGAGGTGCTGTGCTGCTGTGGTGCGGTATGTAAACAAAGGGAAATGTGTGGTCAGAGCTGGGGACAGTTTACCTTTCATTCACCTGCATTCAGCCGTCGCACAGACAGGTGTAGAGATTAAAGGGCTTCATAGGACGGGCAGACTGTTTGCTCATAACCTCGGTCAATATTGATGCGGCGACTACATGAGAATGCAGAGTGGCGATGGGAGCAACCTTTGTGTGCTTTACGTCCCATTGGCTGCAGTCTTTGTTCTGACTTTTGGGTTCTAGCAGTTTCCTCTCCTGTCTTGTGGTTCAGGACATCAACAGGTCTTTTGTCGTCGGTGCATTTTAGGCCATCTGTCATTGAAGGTCCTGGGCTGTTCTGTCATCTTACCACAGCAGCAGCGTACAAAAGACCAAGCCTTTCATTGTTGTCTCAGTATATTGACCCCACTGTCCCTGTATGTATGTTCTGTAGAATAATGGCTACATTAAAAAAAACAACAAAAAAAACTAATTCTGTTCTGGTTTTTACTAAAATAAGAAAAATATTAGCATATAAAGGAAATGCGCAGTTTCTGAATGTATTTGTGTTTTGTTGTGATTGTGAGGCTGAGATGGAAACTACACCCTTATTTCTTGTTTGGTGTTTAATCTGCTGAATGTTTATTGGCTTTAAGTTGCCAGAAACAAAATTTTCCCAACAGTTTCAACCAGATTCGGCTGAAGCTTATGGAAAGTCCTTCGAGATGTTTCACTCATCGAGTGAAGTGGATGTGAGGGAAACGGTAAGGTTAGGTCATTTTATTTATGTTGCACATTTTCAGCAACAAGGCAATTCGAAGTGCTTTAGAAGGAAATGCAAACGAAATAAACCAAAGGAAAGAGCAAAAGAAGAAAATAATAATAATACAAAGTTTAACCTCATGTTTAAGAATAAGTACTCTGTGATTTATGAATCAGTAGGGATTTCTCTGGATTCTTTTAATGAGCAGTTTCTCTAGATAAGCTCATAGGAGTTTCTTTGGATTCTAAATTTGTCTAGTTTCTGAATATATAAACTAGATGCTCCTGTTATAAATAGAAGTACTCCATAATTTATAAGCCAGAAATAGTCAAATAGTTAGTCTTGCTGTTTCTATGTGAGCAAGAGAATGCGAGCAGAATGTGTAATAAATGTATTTATTACACAGTTTTACTTTAAATCTTTGTTTTAGGATTAACTAGATGAATCAAATGTTCTCCAGACTGCTGTGAATTTCTGCAAATGAACTGAGACAGAGACGAGGCGGATGTGAGCATCTGCTACTCTGATGCAGCTGCATGATCTTCTGCAGCTTTACTTTAGGTTAGGTTACGTTTTGGTTGTTACGCTGCTGTCCTTTTTCCTCCTTCCTTTTGAATTAAAGCCAGAAACATGTGTTCAGGAGGAGGGGAGGCGTTGTGAAATGATAGATGGGAGGGATTTGATTTTAATGCTCTCTCCCAGGGGTGCAGTCTGGCTGCATGAGGCCTTGCAGTGGCTTTCTTGGAGATTCTAATTACTTCCTGTCATTTGATGGTAATTCTTGGTCATGCATTTTTTATACTGTGATGCCACGTTGAATTAAGCGTATTGATTGTGATGTCATGTTATCGACTCCCAGTTGATGTTTCGTTCAGGATTCGTCTTCGGCAGGTACAGAGATGAAGGAATGTGCCGGTTTTTCGCAGCGCCTTTTGTCTGCAGAGCCTCACTGCAGCTGCTGTGTGGTGAAGGTGATATGGTGGAGAGCTCACCCCTCCCTGACTCTGTGCCGATCCTCCTCTTTTTTCCTTTTTTCTCCCCTTCGTTTGGTTGCTAGGAGACCTCATCCCGGGCACAAAGAGAGCCCAGCTGGTGTGGACCGGTCTGTCGGATCCCACATCCTGCAGCGGGTGGGAGAGCTTCGCCATCAATGCGAGTCTTTGCCGTTTTTAAAGAAAGACGGAGAAAAATCGCGTGTCATGTTTACCTGCATGCATTCCATCAGTTGAGGCTTGAATTTGTAATATGAGAGTTGATGAAGATTTTTTTTTTTTTTACGTGTCCAAGAATGCACTTACTTGCATTTCTACGATGGCTACGCATCATGAATGGCGTTCCTCTTTTTCCTCAGTGTTGTGTGGACTCCGCTGACTGCCAGCCCTCCTTTCTCTGCCAGAGTCGAGGACAAAATCGTTGCCATTTTCCTCTCAAATGCCGGTGCTTCTTTGCTCAATCAACTCAATAGAGGGAAGGGTGGGGCTCCAAGATTCAGGGAGAAATTTGGGATCATTTTATTTTCACTGATGGGGCATAATTACTCAGGCTCTTTAAAAAAAAAAAAAAAGAAAAGAAAAGAGCAAAAATCAGATTTTCCTGCAGCTAAAGGTCACCTTTTAAACTGCTGGGAGCCATTTTATATCCATTCCTCATCAATGAATGAATCTGGAGTGATACGAATATGTGAACAATGTGAAACAAAACGCTCCAATAGATTTAAGCTCTAATAATTTCAAACCAGGTTTAGAAGATGAGCTTTCTCCCAAGAAAAACAAAATTTGAGACACAAACACAAACTCTGAGACAATAACGGATTTGCAAAATTTCAGTGTTTATTAGATTGGTGCAAAATCTTTGAGTAGCTGCAGATTCTGTCAGGGCTTTTCGTGTCTTAAATGCATCAATTAAGAGACAAGAAAAGTCAGCTTTGCCCCGTTATCGGGGCTCTCGCAGTCTGCCTGCTTCTCGGTGTGCTGTGGAAGCGGTTGTCATGGCAATAAGCTTCCCGTGATGGATTCAGCTTGTGACAATGGCTGTGATACGCTGAGTGGGCTCTTTACATAGTCTTACCTGCCCTGCCCCCCTTAATCTGCCAGAAGTCTGCCACCTCCACATCTCACTGGAACGAGAGGGGTGTGGTTCCCCCCGCCGGAGTCACGAAGCTTCCCCACTCAGCAGCTCTGATTTCCTCCATGGACATCAACAAGTGAGCATGACCTGGAGCGAAGAGGGAGAGGAGGAAGCTCGATTTAATAAAGCTGAGGCCACATCTGTCAGCCAAATGGCTGCTTCCCTGGAGCCGGGGTGGGGTGGCCTGTAACCGGCATCGGGCACCAGCTGTGCACCATGACTGTGTAGATACCCCACCCTCCCACCATCACCACCACCCACCTCCCTGTAAGTGGCTCATCTGTGCTGCAAATGCATCTGGAACCAACCTACTGAAGTGCCGTGCTGCTGCTCAGGGGTCAAGCAGAGGTCAGAGATCTGGTCCAGATTAATTTTAGCAGCGGTTTGCATCAAAAGATGCCAATCAGAACATGTTCAGATGCCCCTTACTTTGACTTTCATGAACCAGGTTGACAAATGAGCCAATACTGTCTGTAAAGTCTTGGAAATCACAAAAGATGTTTGGAGGAATATTCAACTCTGCTCTGTTTTTGGCCCAGGGATTACGATGAGGTCTGTCTCCTTAACACTTCTATTGTCGCTTCTTCACACATAAGTTAGTTATGCCAAGACAGCAAAACAGACAATTATTTCTCACTTTTCTGCTTCACCTTGGATTTTCATCAAATTATCAGACTAATGATCCAAAAGAAGCATTTGTATAAAATGTTACCGAATTGGTCATTCGCTGCTTGATCTGGGTTTTATGGAGGCATGACAGGAAGGAAGCAACTCTTCAACGTCCCAAGGAGGAAGTTGCTCTAGTTAGATGAGACCAGAATGAGGCCAGTACACTAAATCCTGAACAAACCATCTGTATGGTGAAAAATGGTGATGCGAATGCCTTTTCCTCATCTAACTAAGATACTGGGGTTTGAAGGTTGCAGGATGCCAGCCTTCGACTATTGGACTTGCTTTGGTATAGATCAGAGCTTTGTTGTGTTGGAACGGCCCAGTCAAAGTCCAAGCCTAAATCTAACTGACTTATCATAAGGCTTGAAAATGGGTCTTTTGATACACAAAATATTACTTTCTAGGTGTGCAAAACTGTTAGAAACTTGCCCCAAAAAGGCTGTATTTAAAGTGATTTTTGTTGGGGGAAATCAAAGCCTCCATTTTGTTTCCTTAAGTAGTAAAAAAAAAAACATTTTCTTACCAATTAAAAATTATGATCTATTTTGTCTGTGAATCAAATGTGATGTGCCATTTGAAGAACTCCAAGCAGCAGAGTGTTTGTAATTTATTTGATTTATAGTCAACCCTGTGTGGTTTGAAACCAGACCAATGTAAAATCAAATGGATAAACTCTGCTGGTTAACAATTTGCTGAATCATTGGGGCATTAGAGGGAAGTCCATCACTCAGATGTTAAATGGCTGCACTTCTGCACAGAGATCAATTGCTTTGGCTAGAGATGAGATGTAATCATCTCAGTACTTTGTTTTTGGTGTGCATCCTAATAGGATGTTCTGAAGTATTAATCAGCTGTTAGAAACAAAAATGCCATCAAAGTTACTAATTTCCACATTAGATGTTTTATTGATGCCATTTATTCATGTTTAACAAAGAAAAATGCATTTATTCTTCCTGCATGTCGTTTGAAATGGCAACAAATCTGTCTTTAATTTGCCCAGGATGAGTTTCATCATCTTAACAACCTTTAGTTGAACAAAGTTGAATAATTCAGTAATAGTAGGCGGATCGCTGCGTGTCTGATGGAGGGGCTGCTGGTTTCATTGGGTCATGTGGTTCTGACAGCTGGTGAGGCTCAGATTAAGGATGGGCTCAGAGGGTGGAGGGCACCCAGAGTCTGGAGAGAGCCAGAAAAAAATTAAATCGCAAACCCCCTGCCTTAGATAAACGGGTATGTTAACAGTGATGTGTGCATTGTCTGTGTAATCTATTGGTGACAATATTCAGTTTAAGAGAGGATGCTTCTTAAATTAGACATTTTCCATCTAGTATCTCCTATCATGTGTCGGGTTCTGGCAATTTCTCCCAATCATGTTCGAAACAGGTTTTCTCAATGCATCATTTAAATGTACGTCTAAGTTATAGTTAAATAACTGCATTTCTTCAATGTTGCATGGACTAGAGCAATGTCGTCTGCTAATTTAATTTACAGTAACACTTTATTGGAAAGGTGTGCGCAAGACTGTCATAAACATAACGCCTGTTATGAACATATAGGAGTCTTTATGACTGTTGTCATGAAGCTCCATTTGGTAAATAATGATGCTAATGATGCAAAGTTCCATTAAAAGTCAATTAAAAGTGTTACCTTTTCATTAAGTGTTTTTTGCAGAATGACACTTCATGAAAACAATCGAACATTCATAAAGACTCCTTCATGTTCATGACAGTCTCATGCACCCCTTCAAATAAAGTGTTGTCTAATTTACTCACAATTAACTTTAAAAATGTATTTCTCCTGCTATGATTTAATGTGGGACACAAAATGTCTTAATCACATTACAAGAAGACAAAACTTGTATCAAAAACTCGTATCAAAAACTCTTACGATTGGAAACTGCAGCAGCCAATACAGTCTCTCTTTACCATGAAATTTTTTGGAATAGTAAACGGGAAAATGTTTCTTTGGAAAATTCTTGACTAAAGTCAAAAATAAAGCCTCTTTAACTTCATCTACGGTATGACAAACAGTCACAACATTTCAACCTCAACTGTAAGTATGAGACCATCTGAAACTATAGATTTGATATTTGATTAGCAGAAAACGATCACTGGTTCAATGACTGGATGGTTTCTTGTCACCTTTAATTTATGCATTTGGCTAAAACATTGTGATATGAAAGGCTCTGCAAACGTAATCCGTTTTGTTTTTGGCCATTTGGCGCGGACAATGCAGGTCATTTGTAAACGTACTGATTTGCAAATTAACCAATAAGCATCAGAGGTTCCTTTCTGCAATGTTTCAAACGTTGAACTGATTTTGAAGCTGCAATTCCAGTTTGGAAAGTTGGTTTATGAGAAACCCTGATTAAAAAAAATAAAAATAAAAAAAGTGCTTTTGTTGCTGTGAAAATTGTCTGTTCAATTGGTTTCTAACAAACTTTATTTCTTTCACATTTCCTGCTTAGACATTTGAACGTCAGTTCCTGGGTTTTTGCTGAAGATTAAACAGATTGGTGAACAACTTAAACTCTTTATGTTGGTCTGTTCCAGAATCCTGAGTTTGAGTGGAGATTTAGTTAATGAAGATGTTTGGATTAAATCTTGATCCTTTTAATCAGCTCTATTGTTAAAGCTATTAAAACGAACTGCTGTCTGCCCTCCAGCCCGTTTCCTTCTCCTCTTCTTCACCGCGGGGGGGAGAGAGCTCTTCTTCATGCCTCCATTTTAGGATGACCAGGTGTTTCTGTTGCCACACGATGCTGATAACCTGTATATAATCTCCTTACACTGAAATCACTGGATAACACTAATGTGTTGCCTGTGATTTGGGATTGGGAGAAAACCCAATTAGCGTTTGATCCCTGGAGTCGAAGCAGCGTCTCGGTCTCCTGGCGTGGATCTGTATCCGGGGAGTTTTGTGGGGGTGTGGAATTTTTGTACAGCTGCTAAAAGCCGCGTCAACAAGCCACCACACACTTTTAGCTTGTCTAGCAGGACTGAGATTCAACATGGCAGCTGGTGGGGTGGAGTGCTCTCAAATTATCTGTAGCTCATAGTTTAGATCCGCATCACAAAGGGAAACCGCGACGCATCTCGACTGGGCCTGGCATCCACTCAGACGTGTCGCCGTTTCTCTCCGAGTGTCCAGCAAAGTGATGCAGTTACATTACAGCTGCTCAATATGTCTTTATCTCATAAGTCAGTATTTCAACAGGTATTGAATATCGACAGAGATGCTCCACTAAGAATAAAGCAGCTTTTTGATCGAACAGCTCTGACATGTCGGGCTGTACAATGAAGAGTGGAGGAGAAGGTGTGGCCCACAGACATCTGTCCACTAAGGAGGCCATATTGTTTCAGCAGCTGCTGATTGAATAGACCCAGGGGAAGGAAGCAGAGGCATTTAAACATTAGAGAAAAGATGTAGCATTATCACCTTTGTTTGCTTTTTTTTTGTGTGTCTGTTCATGTTATCCAGCTTAAATACATCGCAGACTTTTAACACTGAACATACACTATTGCTGAAGGAATGTCTTTAACTCTATTGAACAATTATACAGTAAATATGGATATATGAGTTGAATCGAAGCAGTTTTCAGTGTCAGGAGCTCATTTAGCCAGATGGATGCAGTAATCTGCTGTGCTTTGTGATTATCAAAAGGCAGTAATGATATTGACTTAAGATGTATTCAATAAAAAGTCAGATTTTTGGGATGCAAACAAACCTAATTTTTATTTATTTTCTTAATTTCTTCATTTCCTCCCTTCAAAGGTCACCTGCCTTCAAGACTTCTTTGGTGATGATGATGTCTTCATTGCATGTGGACCAGAGAAATTTCGCTATGCGCAGGACGACTTCTCACTGGATGAGAACGGTGAGCCTTAGTCCAACAGGGACAATTACCAAAGTTATTCATTTGTCTGCCATCACACATCACCTAATCCATAAAGTTTAATATTAACTCACTCTTTGAGGCTGAAGAAATCTCCAACTCTTCTAGGAATGTTACCCATGAGGTTTGACTAAAGGAAATATTTTTATTGTATTTGATAACATAAATCTATGCACCATAAATTATTGCAATAAAATTAAGACTTTTTAAGTAATAATAATTTTAACGGCACAACAAAGCAAGAGCACATTCCCAAACATCAATAAACTTCAAATTCAAATGAACATTTAACCCTGGAACTGAAAGACATTTTAAATGTCTCAAATAAATAAACAAAACAGCAGAAATAGCTAAATGAATTGTGAAAAAAAACGGGTACGTCGAGACCAAAGCATAGCTAAAGAGAAAACGATAAATCATGCAAATGGAAATTGAGTTTAATGGAAATTGAGTTTTTTAATTTTTATTGCAAATAATTGATCACTTATTGCAACAGGCCTAAACGCATCATATCACCAGGCTTGAATTTGATTAACTCCTTTTAACAAGCCATTTTCTGCCTGTCGACAGCTTGGATGTATTATCTGAAAATCTGAATTCAATCATTTGGGTGATTGATTGAATACTTTTGGCAGAATAGTCCAGGCTCAGATAGTTGCATCAATCTTTTTCCCTCCCAATATAAATAAATTCGGCGTTGGTATGAACTAAACAACAATCGTTGCAGTAAATTGAGTTGGGGAAGATGTCAAACATGCTCAGAAGTATATCGGTCAAACTCAGTGAGGTTTCATGCTTTGGTCAGCGTGGATGCTAATATTCAAAGCTAAATGAGCGAAAAATTAGGGATGCTGAAAAAAAACGCAGTGAAAGATGGAGCTGAGGCAGAGCTTTATCAGCAGCAAGCAGCTCGGAGGAAAGCGGGCAGAAGTCAGAGAGCCATTAATCTGTCCAGTGACGGGTTTAGGCCAGCTGATCTGTCGGTGCTGATACTGCTGTGCAGTCGAGGAGAGGAAAAGGTGAAGCCAATCGTCTTGCTGACTCTCTCCTCTCTGCAGACCTGAAAGACCTATTTTTAAATTTCCTGTTCTACATAAACTCCTCTCTTGGAAACGTGCGGTCTCTTCATCAGAACACAGCAGTGGTGCAGAGCTGACTTCTTATTATGTTTCCATCCATTCCTTCGCTTTGCCATGGAGATTCCAGTAATGATCTGTGTCCTTAATGTTCTACAAACTCCCTCGTGGACCCAAGCTAAATTGTTTCATTTAGTCTATAACCTTAGGCCAATGCTGCAGAAAATGAATGATGGTCTGGAGCATGCCGACATTACCAAGTCGGCCTCAGAGGAGCCGGGCAGGCGGGGGGGTTTTCTGCTGTGTTTCACATGGACATTAAGTCTGCAGACAACAAATCTTCCACACAAAGACAAATGAACATGCTCACATTCTCTGTTTTAAAGGAGTTTAGGGTCTTGTCTGAGGAAAATCTGGAATGATAGAGGTCTGATTTTTCTTTTTTTTTCATTGTTTTTTTGACTTTTTAATGTCAAAATAAACCCACACTTCACATTTAGTGGAGTAGAGCAGAAAATATTTGCACCACATTCACTTTTTCATTTTTTTACATCACAAACTAATTGAACAGATTATTACAAAAAGAAAATCCGTGCATTGATGAAGCTCCAGTGAAAACATGTTTCCAATTATTATTATTTTTTTTTTTTTGGTAAATCAAAAATGCAACAGTAATTGGCAGATATGTGTCCACTTTTTCGGTCATCATCCTTCAGATGTTTTTATATTTTGATCAACATTCAGTTGCTTGCATAAAATTTGGAATGAACCAACATATTCTGCATTGTCGCAGAAACCAATAAAATTAAATGAATTGTCTCTGCACAAATATTGAAGGATACCAAACAAATTTGTTAGAATGAAATGTTTCAAAATGCACTGCAGTCTCCAATATTGAGGAAAGGAGAAAGTTTAATGTCCAGAAACCTGACGACACCCCGAGCAAAAGGCCTTAAATGTTCTGAGCTCAAAAAACAACAAATCTCTGCTCTGAAAAAGCCGTTTTCTTCACTATTCATATACAACATATTCCAAACATAAAATCGTATTGTGTAAAAGAAACAAACATAATTTAAAATTTAATTTTCTTCCAATCTAATCTTCATGATCAGTGATCAGATTATCGGCTCCTTAGTCTTTGATCAAAAGCTGCTTTTAACAAAAATGTTTAGAACGTCAGTTTTTTGCGTATTTCAGATTTTCATGGAGATTTTGCTGAGTTGATGAGCACAAACTGAATCCTACCACCACTTCAGTTCTGGTCCTGTGATCTGAGAGGTCAAACTTTGTCAACTCAAATATATTTTGATATATTTTTTGGACCAACATCAGAAATTTAAATTCAAAATAGTTTTCAAACAAACCTTTCATAACGGAGTGAACAATGAAACCAAAATGTAACTTTGTGACCTCAACTCCGAATACCATCACTACTGTGAAGCATAGCGGTGGCAGTGTCATGCTCTGGGGATGTTTTTCTACGGCAGGATTTTTAATCTGAGTAATTTTGTAGCACAAAGTGTGCAAAGCGAGGCGGTGTGAATAATTTCTGGTGGAACCGTTTACGCAGCCGCAGCATTCACAGAACCAGGAATGTGATCTGACTCTGGGCTATTTTGGGAGACAGACTGCCAGACTGAAGTACTGTCAAAGGAGCGCTAGTGACACACTTCCCAAACAATAGCGCACCAGTTTTTACGTCTGTATCCAGCAGGGTGTGAAGGTGAAGAGAAAGAAGACGGATACGGTGCGATCCCAGGAGATGGAGGGAGGACAGGAACTATAATTAGCATGAAAGGAGGGAAGGAGTACAGAGGAGGGGGAAGGAGAGAGGAGAAGGGGGAGACTGACAGCATAAACAGAATGGAAGATGCTCTGAGGGAGGAGCAGTGATGTCTGCAGCCTGTCTGCTCTGATTATTACACTGACCCAGAATACCGAAATGTAAAAAAGAAACCCTGAAATGAGTTCTGTTTTTACATGTGAGGGACGACGCTACAGTCCAACGCCCACCCTGATCCATCTCCAAGCTCAGTCATTCAGTTTGGATTAAAGAGTTTTAATTTTCCTCTTCGTCTGTCCCACAGAATGCCTGCTGATGAAGGGAGCCAAGGCCCAGCGCGGTTCTGTGAAGAGTCCCGGTCCGATCAAGTGCTGCAAATCTCCCGCTGACTCCAGTGAGTAATCGACGACGTCGCCTTTTCTGACCGCGCCCCGAAATGAGCGCAGTCGAAGATCAGCAGAAAAACAATAAGGCAGCCTGCGGTGTTGTAAATGAACTAACATAACAACATGTGACAGCAGAGGGATTTGACTGACCTTTGACCTTATTCCAAGAGGGTTGGTGAGCATATCAGATCAATAATGTATGAGGAAAAGGTGACTTCCATCCAATGAGCAAATATCCGAGATGATTGGGTTTTAATGCATTTGCTGTGCTTGAAGATAAGTCTTCCTTTATCTGCAGGAAGGGAATCAGGCTTGACTGATGGATTCAACTACAGGATCAAAAAATCTGCTCCTTTATCTTAGATCGCAGGACTGGATTAAAAAAAAAGCCCAGTTGAAATCCAGCCTTTGCTTATAAGTAGTCTAGGATTTAGTATAATTGTGTTTAACGTGCTCCTACTGAGTAAGTGGCAAAAAGCATGAATAAATCAAGAAAAGTAAACAAAGACAACATGAACAGCTGTCAGCTGTTTGTTAGAAAGACAGGTTAATATTTAATAGTGTCCACTAAACCCTAGCGACTAGCTTATTAATTGTTTATAAGCAATTATTGTGGAAAAGGGTCTTGATAAAACAGGATTGTGCATCTGTCTGAAGATGTCAAAATCTCTGTTGAGTTAAATAAATAAAAATTATACCAGTGGTCAGAATTGAACTGCTGGTATCTATTTATATTGAAACGGGGATTCAAAATGCATGTCATTTATTTATATATATATATATATATATATATATATATATATATATATATATATATATATAAATTTTTGTTTGTTTTTTGTTTGTTTTGGGGAATGCCTTTAAGAAAGTTGGAATATTTTTTTGCTAAATGATCAGAAACTATCTTGGAAACTGGAGGAGTTCATTTTAGTAGTTTTGTTTGTTTTTGGCTCAGACTGGATCGAGTCCTTTAACCGTTCTTGAACCAGTTTTATGTTCTGAGGGTAAAAATTTAGATCAGAAACAGAAAATTGATCCCAAACACACATCAAACTAGTTTTGTAACACGTTTTAAGTCTAACATTAGTGATTTGTCATAGCATTTCTGACCTCATTGAATTAAAATGTATGTAGATTTAGAAATGTATAGCTGTGAAATCTCTATTTAAAAGTTCGGTGAGCCTTACAGATATTAAAATTATTTGCCTTTGTGGAGAAAACATTACCGTCTCCTCTGCAGGTGACTGTCTGGTCTCTCTCTCTCTCGCTGTGGGAGAGCTGCCCGACTCTCACAAACTCATTTTTAGGTTTTATGAGGTAGTAGGGCTTTTGGAGTGAGTTTAACTTTTTACTTACTTACTCTCCATGTAGCCGAGCGTTTAAACGAAGCCAACAGGGGGGAGAAAAGAGGAGCTTTATCCACTGTTTGTTTTCAACTCTGTGGCTCAGACTCAAGCTGGCCATCTGCTTCGGTCTTTTCATCTCTTATAGACAAAACTCTTTTAAGGCACTTACAGCACACAGCTACATCACCTCACACCACTCTCAGATCTAAACAGAGGTTCCTAGCAACGATTCAGGACACAGACTGCGAGAATAAAATGTCGCCAAACCAAAGCGGAGGACTCATCAGACTCCCAACGGGCCTTTAGACGAGCGCCAGGGGAGCCTATCGTTCAGCGCTGACTTTTATGGAGAGCAAGAGAAAAAGTGGTTTGGATTGGTCTTGCACGCTATCTAATCCACACGACTCTCTTCTCTCCCTGTCTTTTCTTTCTGTATGGTCCGTCGGATCCCTCAGCCAACGGGACTGGCTCCAGCAGCCAAATCTCCACCCCGATATCCAAGCATTCCCCCACCTCCACCCCCACCAGTCCGGGTCTGAACAACACGCAGAAGGTAACAAAACCTTTCCAGTATTCACATTTCATTCAGGTTTCCTATAAAGGACCAACACAAAGCATTGCATGTATCCGAAGAAGAAGGGGAATTACACATTTTCAACGATAAAATTACATTTAAGTTTGTGAGACTTGTGAGACTTTTTTCTTTCTAAAGAAGCTCCATCTTTTCATTTACTGACGTCTCGACGCCGAGCTCACAAGTAACCGTGCTGCGCTCTGCTTCCAGGATCTCTACCTGCCCTCATCTCTGGAAGACGAGGACTCTCTGGGCGAATCGATGTAACTTCCTTCCTGCAGCCAGCCTTCGTTTTGGTCTGAAACACAGAAGTTTTATACGTCTGCTGCTTTCCACCTTCACTCACAGTGCCACCAGTCGAAGAGGACCGCTCTTTGTCTCTCTCTCTTTAGGGCCTTTGACACCATTTGCTGCTTGAGGATAATAAACGGTTGTTAAACTCAGTCTCGTCAGCTCATTAATGTTCAGACACAATAGCCACTTGTTTGTCGTTTATGGAAGTGTACACTTTCTTTTAATGTCCACTCAAGCAGCAAATGGGGGAATTTTCAGCCTCACGTTGAACAACTTTTTTTATCCACTATCCATGTTGGTGACTGTCCCTCCGTCCAGCTGTTGAAGGTGTGAATGTTACTGGTTCCTTGTCTGAGGAGACGGGTCTGTTAATGAGGGTCTTTCTAAACCTGCTGTAAATACTGTGTACAGCCATCCGTCCATCATAACCTCTCTGCTCAGTGTCTGTTGCTGTGCTTCCATTTTCTTACTACCATGTTCAACCTTCACTCAACATTTAACAGGGTCACGGGGTCAAAGTAGACGAAAGAAATCAAGTGGTGATGGTTTGGGGTGTTGGGGTGTAGCCGCTGGTTTAAAGGGATTATCCATCAGAAATGCTTTAAAGTAAATAAAGTATAATTTCAGAAATTAGTAATCACTGAGGCTTCATACAGTGTGCAATAGAAATTATTGGCATTAATTTTACCCAGTCGGTCTGAATGGGAAGCTGTAAAGACATTGTCTCCTATATCTCTAAGTTCATGTTTCATCCGCTTTGACCTTTAGCCAGTCGGCTATAAGTGGTTCATTTTGGTTCAACTGCAACTTGTTGTGATTATTTACAATAAATGGTGTCTGGCAAAAATATCAACACTTAAGACTTTTTCACTTTTTGTCATGTTGCAGTCACAAACTTGAATCAAAAGACGTATTAAAGACGTCCATCCATCCCCACACCATGCCGCCGCCATGTTTGATGGCGGTGGTGCCTTCACTGACCAACTGGGTTAAAGCAGATTAAATTGCTCAGTTGGACTCTAGTTTACTAATTAAATCACTCTTGGAAGCAACCAGTTGCACTGTTAATTTAGTAGCATCACTGTAACGGTTCCTGAATACACGTTCACCCCGCACTTTTAAAAATTTAATTTGTAAAAATGTTTAAATATCAGCTTGAAACTTGCGATTTATAGTTTCCTTTCGCTTCACAAACATGCGGTGCCACTTTGTCTTGGCCCAACAGAAACAAAAATTCAATTTTGTGGTTGCTGCGTGTCAGAATGCAGGAAGGTTTAAGCATCAGAACCGCTTTTGACCGGCACCAAAACCGGTGGGGGGGAGGATCTCAAAGCCAAAGTGTTGTTTTTGACCAAGAATAAACAAAACGGGAAAGTTTTGATAGTAGTGAAATCTCTGGAGCGAGCACACATGGAGCTGATGCATGTCGCATTGAAATAATAAATCATCTTCATCTAAGGCGGGTAGTTGCATTATGGCGCTAAAGCAGTAGTGGGATTTCTCCTCTTTTTGCATGGCTCAGCATAGTTCAGGGATCATGGGAGGGTGATGAAAATATGTTTGTCTGTGTGGGTTTAAAAGTTTTATAAAGCTTATTAATTTATCTTAAAGGTACCTGTGTAGGATTAATCGTTTCCTTAGTTTAAACTTGCTCTGAACAAGTTTTTCCACGCTTCTGTGTGCAATCTTGTATTTCCATATTTCTATTTCTGTCGTTGCGACTTCTGACGGCGTGTCCACTAAAAGGTGGAGATTTGAGTTTTACTCAGCAGGGAATCAAGCCTGAGACGTCACTGAATCCAATGAATGAAGCACAAAAGCAGGGAGCAACTAATTCATTTACGACAGATTTTTACCGGCCAGTCTCTCAAAACGCTTAACCACCGATTCTCAATAGTCATAAAATGCTGCACATGTAGCATCTCTTCGATTAAGTACTATGCATTTGGATTCAACAGTTGCTGACGTTATTCTCTTTGGTAGAAATTGCCTTTTTATTAAAATAAGAAGTGTGATTAGAAAGGAGCCTAAAGTGAGCTTTTTTTTTTTTTTCCTCCATTGTGATGAATCGTCTGTCTGGAAGTCCTGTCTTTAGATGTGACGCTGCGTCCGCCTGCTTGATGATCTTTGGTCAATGTTTTACTCGTTGAACACAAGCCATCACAATCTGGTGCTGTGAACTCCACCTTTCTCCAGCAGGGAGCGCTGTTACACCAGCACAACAGCTGAAATCAGCAGCAGGGGACGCGCCCCTTTGAGTCCTATTTTATACCAATAAAAGGAAAAAAAAAAAGAATAAAAATAATTTCTTGTTGCTTCTGTTAAACCTCACATGCTAATGTTCTAGTTTCCTTACAACTTTTTACATCTCAACATATTTAAGCAGAAAATGTTTGTCTTGAATGAAGCGGCTGCCACCATTGAAGATGACTGGTGTGATTTATCACCGTCAGTGGTGCCTTTTTTTTTTCTAGATGTCTTTTGATAAAAACAATAAATGGAACGTAAAAAGCCTTGTTCGTTTAGCAACTATTTGTAATACATTTTTAAAATGTCTTAAACGAAGAGGCCTCCTATCACACTTTGTTTTGTAGAGATACAGGACACTTTGCCATGGTGTAAATACACTTCCTCTTCTTTCATAATGTATGCCTTTTGGATCAAATTACTTTCTTTCTCTCTCTAAAATTGACACTTGTTTTTAGTGGTATTTTGCAATGTTACAGTGGCTTGTTTCAGTGCTTCATTCAATGTATTAACTGGTATCCTTTTGCAAATAAAACATTGGTATTTCATTTTGTGTTGTCTGTTGTTTACCCTATGAACATCTTTTAATTCCATTTTATTAATTAAAATGCTTGAAGTGAATCTGAAGTGGGTAATGAATGGATGATTACACCAAGTCTTGGTGTCCAATTGTGTAAATGTTGATTCTGAATATTTGATTTTAAAGTAAATGCTAGTAAGAAATGGGCCTCAAATGTTAAGTACTGCATTTAAAAGGAAAGAATATTTAAAGGTTTATTTTTTAAGTCGATGTTTAGAGGTTAAATGTGATGGGAAAAATATTGAAATAAAAAATGGAACTCATTTAAAAACAAAATGATATATGCTGGTGGTCAAATCAGGGTGTAATTATGTAAAAGTATTTTTTCCTCCACATAAACTTTCAGAGGAAAGTCTCCATAAAGAGACATATTTAAAGTCTCTAAAATCTGTGGTTATTTCATTTTGTCAGATGTTGCAGCAGTGTGAGTCGCCCCCTGCTGGCTCTTTCATAAAAGTTCGGTACGGTTGAAACTTCTGTCCTATGATGACATAATCTGAATGTTTAGTTGTGTTCAGTTTAAAGCGCTTCGTTACAAAATTTGCTTCCAAAAATAAATTAAAAGATATAAATTTGCAGAAGACCTGGGGAGGTCAATTCACAGCAAAGCTTGAGCTTGGCTGCTCTGTATTTAGCTTCATTGTGACGATGAAGGTGACAAACAGCACCAGATATAATTTTTATTTTGTTTTTTCATTCATATAATCTGAGTTTAACCTGTCAGAATTCAGCCATTGTGCTCCTTTAACCCCCTCTTGTGGCCACCTGGTGAGGTCATAGAACCAACAACTGTCGTAAGCACTTTGAGTTAACCGTCAACAGATGGGAACTTTTAATCATAGCAAACATCTCAAGCCACATCAAATAAAATGGAGGTAATTTGCGGGCACCAATTTTAAAGTCTTGCCACAGATGTTTAGTGGTGGACTTTGACTAGACCATGCTATTTGCTTTGAGGCTAACTGTTCCATTGAATGTTTGCCCCAGTCTTAGATTTTTGTGCATCTGACAGCTTTTCCTCCAAGGTAGCTCTATATTTTCCTCCTTCTATCTTTTTGAATTTAGGCCAGAAGTTCAGTTTTGTCCTCATCTGATCAGATGTTTCCCCTACAAACTTTAATTGGAACCACTTATTACCTTTCTTCTAAAAAAAAAAAAGTGTCTTCTGTCCTATTGAATGAGTCTCAAACCTGAGCTGTGAACCTATGCAGTTCCTCCAGTTATTCTTTTCTCTACTCCGAAGCACAAAACACCAGTAAATTACGTTGTAGCTTTTGATTTCAGGAGTATGGAAACTTTCTGGTCCACTGTAAGACATGTGGATCAGAACGGGATTTCTGTGGTTGCCTCTTTGTTGCTGACTAGCAGCCTATTGAGCTGGAAAACGGCTTCATTTTCCCTGAAATGCACCCTCAGAGTACACTGCTGCCTTTGTTCAGGTCATCTGCTGAATTGTTTTTTTCTGTGTAATCAGCGCTTCCAGCATTCTATCACAGGAAATACATTCGTCGCATCGTGTATCGTGCATCCTTTCTTCCTGTCCTGTCCTCTAAATTCTGCTCATGAAAAAAACTCTTAACTCGTATCTTCAACAGTTTATCTCCTGAATAATCCCCTCGTCATTGTTGGCCCTTTAAAAAAAGAAGTCAGCCTCTTAGAAGCTGGAATTAGCCTGAGCAGATCTGATGAGGGTGAGGGAGTCACAGTGCCTCTGTGTTCCCTAACAGAGAAGCACAGGTCACTGGGCGCCTGCCAGTTTGTTTCATTCCCACAGCTCACAGATTATTAGCTCTGTTTACTCAACGGTGCAGACCACTGGTGCAAAAAAAATCTGATTTAACACTGACAGACCAGCATATAAAACCCATTTGTGAGGCTGATGTTATTACCAGAGGCTTGAGTTTTAGGTGCTTTTAGACAGGCTGAGCAGGTTTCTACTGGTTTTTTGCTTCAGGGGACGTGGGGGAGCTTAGTTTCGGTTGCCCCTTCCTTAAATACTTTCAGAGATCCAATCAGTCGTTTTCCAAAAGTGACATACTCTCCTATGCAGCGATGTAGCCGTCGAGCCAGTTTTCTGACGCTGTTTTTGGGAACTCCTCACAGCAGCAGCAAAGTAGGAAATCTCATTTCATTCAGAGCAAGGTGTGGTAGACAGCTGTTCTGTGTTGTGGCTCCTGAAGCTGAAGCGTGGACTGACTTGTAAACACCTGACCTGGAGTTTGAGGGAAGAGCGCAAGAATCTAAGTTCATCTTCACAGGAATAAGACTTTCCATTTGGTAAGTGTTTCTGTTCTTCATTTGTAACTTTTAAGAACATGTTACATAACTTAGGCTTAAAAAAAACTGACCATAAAGAGCAGTGACTGCTGTTTACCGAACAGCAGACACTGTTTGATCTTTACTTTAAGTATGTTTTACTTTCTGTTTCTCCGGTTGAAATAAACATAAACATGTCTTTAAACAAATAGTTTTCCCTGATCTTTATGTTGGTTCATGTACATCCCGGAAACACTGGGAAGTGAAGGTGGCGTCACCTGTAACAACCAGATGAAAAAAAAAAAAAAAAAAACTGTCCTGAGACTTATTTTCAATATTTTCTGCTTTAATACTCCAATAAAAAAAAAAGAAAATTAAAATCTTACCATTAAAAAAAGTGAGGAGAAACTCTCAGCCAATATTGGCTAATCGCTCATTAAGCCGTCTCACCGATCAGGTCAGAGGTACGAACATAACAGTCGAACATGCAATGAAAACAGGAATGGGGTGGGGCACTGAGAAGTGTGGAAACAGGTTAGTGAGTCAGAGACAGGTACGTACTCGACCGGGAAACTTCCTTATTCTGGAGAATAAAAGACTGAGCTGCGGATATCACAAAGGTACTGTCACTGGATATCCCTTGTATGTATTTACAGAAATGTTCAAACTTGTAGTTTGTTTTGTAATTTCAAATGGTCTTTTTCAAAAGTTCTTTATCCCTTTTGTACTTCACTGGCTGTTCAACATATTTGGTGTTTATTACTTCCTGTTGAATGTGTGCTGTTGTGTGACTCTTGGCCAAGACTGAAATATCAAGATTCTTATCTAAGTAATTACTCCGGCCAGTACTGTGTTAGCGGAGCACTGAGGGGTCAAAGTGGTGGGAAAACAAACTCAAGAGTCCCTCCCTAAAGAATCAAGCTACGTCTCTCGTCATAACTTTAGTTTTTCTCTTCAACAAAGTTTAAAAAGGTGTTTTTCTGCGAGAGCCTCAACCAAACCACTGATCCATGATACGAGAAGTTTACATAAATCTCATATTCATTTTAGTAATTCATTTTAAATGTCATCAGCAGGTTGGATTGATGAGTTTCTTCTCACTTTTTTTTAACATAAAAACCTTGAATTCATTGCATCTCCTCTCCCTCAAATACTGTAACTATCAGACAAACAGGCTCAAATGTAAACATGTAGGCCACAAATATTTGATTCACGTGAAGCTCTTGCTTTTTCTGAGCCACCAATAAGCTTCTGGAAACATTTTCATTGGATATTCAATCATTCATCATAAATACTGGAGTAAATTTAAAATGGTTTGGGTTCCTTCCAGGCCTCTTGATCACAGAAGCTAATTTTAAATAACATGCTTCATTAAATCTTAATATTAGTTAATTTCTGACAGGCATTTAGAACCACTATCCTGCTGCTTCATTCATACAGCTATTAATTTCAAGGCACTGCTTTTTCTTTCTTATTCTATCCACGTTGTGCATCCACTGGCGACAAGGTTAGCTCCACCATCTTTATTGTGTACTTTCATCTAAAAGCCTTTCTTTTACTGCTCCGGAAGTATTTTTTGAAACAGAGGTAAAATTACATTTAACGTGAAGTAAAACCTCAGAGTCTAATTTGATCCTTTTAAAGTGCATTTCTAATTTTTCAGATTCCAGAAATTGTGAATGCTACTTAGTTGAAAAATATCTTTGATGTAGTCTTCTGTCCTGAGACAATATGTGGCAACAAACTACCCGAAATGTAGATTTTTAAATCCAAGTGAGTGTAAAGGTTACTATTTTGGTTTAGCAACTTTTATCTCTCAAACGACAGAGAGCTCATGTCACATGGGACGGTACGTTTCTGGGTTTTAAGACTTTGCAAATTCATATCAAAACATTTTCTTACTAGATTATGATTACATCTTTTTAAAGTCTTAAAATATTTGTACTTCAGACATAAACTGAATGAATTATGCTTTTGAGTAAATAAAAATCGCCCTAAAGTATCAAAACACGCAGATTTAGTTTGTATTATCTATGTCACTCTGACTTAGCTATGCTGGGTGTCGTTTTTGTTTTTTTGTTTTTTGGTGTAAAACTTTGAATTTTTTGATCCTATTTCTTCTGTGCGACACATTTGGTTTCTTCCATAGCATTTGAAAAGAGCACAGTCCAAATTTAAAGACATCTATCGAAAGATATTTATATTCTAGAGCTGGTAAAGGTGAATGCGTCAAATCTTTTCCAATATCATAAACATTTCTCAACTGTCCAAATGAGTCCACCGAGACTCACTCAGGGTCATGAGTCAGTCTGAAGCAGAACAGCAATCCCACCAAGTCTAAATAATTTTTGATTCCACCCATATAAAGACCAGAATCCTCTTCTGTCTCATCTGCAGCTGTGAGGCCTCAGCAGCTCCACCATGCCTGTCGCTTATAGAAATCAGCACTATGCTGAGCTGAAGAAGCAGCACAACCAGAAAGGGACGCTGTTTGAAGACCCAGAGTTCCCAGCCACCAATTCATCGCTTTATTACAACAAACCCCCTCCTGGAGTTGTGCAGTGGAAACGACCCAGGGTACGTTTATTCCACACAAAGAACGTTAAAAGTGTTTTATATCTCAGTAATTGATCTGAAATTTCTCTTATATTATTGTCGCCGAATGATCCTGAATGCACTCCTAATTTGAACAAATGAATTGTGTTTTATGTGTCGTAAATGTGTAACTCAGATAAATTTTGCCACTTTATTGCTTGCCAGTTACTTTTAGGATTTACTTTAAAATCTGTGCTTAGCTATAAGCATTGAATGTTCAAGCCAGGCGTGTAATTTCAAAGAAGAAAAAAAATTACAAATGTGTTAAAAAAGGTTATTTTTTTTACAAGTCTAACATCTGTTTTATCAAGCCCTCAACAAAACTTTCTACAAACACTTTAACTGTAATACCAAGAGATCCAAAAAGATCCAGTGGTATGTATACTTCTTCTAAACCATGTAAATATTGTTTTTATTTGTTGGATTTTTATTATTTGGTGATTTGTAAAGTCTTGGAAAGTTAAAAAAGAAAAAAAAAAGTTTTATTGGCCTTTATTTCAAAGTAGTTTGACAGGAAAGCGGGTACTGAGAAAGCGGGATGAGAAATGTCACTAGGCTGGGAATCGAACCTGCGACCACTGCCACGAGCACTAAAGTCTCAATATGTGGGCTGTGCTTTGCTGCGGCACCACCACTTATACCCACTATCTTTCTAATATTTTAGGAAATATGTGAAGCCCCACATCTCTTTGTAGAGGGCATCAGCTCTCATGACTTGAACCAGGGGATTGTGGGAAACTGCTGGTTTGTTGCTGCCTGTGCCTGTCTGGCTTTAAAATCAGACCTCTGGGAGAAGGTGAGTTGACTTAAAATAGTTTTGTTTTTTTTTTAGCAAAAATATTTATATGAAAATATTGTTAGAATTAATAAAACAAGTCTGACTAGAAAATAAGTTTCTAAAAGAAGTTGAAAACTATGAGAGTGATCTGTTCCAACAACAATGCAGCTGGTTCAGTTTCGTTCCTTCAAAATATTTCAACACAACCTCTGGTAGTGTAAAGCAGAGACATGTTACCCATAATGTTTATACCTTCAAGACTTAGAAATCTAAATATGTACAAATGAGATGTTTGGTAAATTTATTGTGCTTAATTGTCTCCAGGTAATTCCTGACTGGAAGGAGCAGGAGTGGGGTTCAAACTACGCTGGGATTTTCCACTTCCGGTTCTGGATCTTCGGTGAGTGGATAGACGTGGTGATAGATGACCGGCTGCCAACGATCAACGGACAACTCATCTACTGTCAGTCAAAACAGAACAATGAGTTCTGGAGCGCCCTGCTGGAGAAAGCCTACGCCAAGTCAGTAAACCAAATCTGTTCCTCACACAAACAGCCTGTACTTTCACTGTCAGCCCTGATGATGCTGCTTAAAAAGCCTTAAAAAATGTATGTTCCCAACATTGGTTGAATATTTTGAAGATGATCTCTTCTTGTTTTAACATGTTTGCACAAAGCTGCAAAAGGCCAGGTCTATAAAAACATATGAGTGAATCTTGTGTAGAAGAGCTTGACTAACACAGAGTCCGCAATCTGATGGAACATAATTCAGATGGAAATCAGGCCTTATTGTATTGTGTCTGACCTCACAAATACACTTCAGAGAGGTGAAAATCCCACAAACCCTTTATTGTTGAAAGTGTTCACACAAGAAAAGGTCACAGAGCAAAATGTGGGCAAACATTATGTATAAACTTTATGTATTTAAAATAGGATGCCACTGAAGGTTGCATACGTGAAGGGAAATGAGTAAATACATCCGTAAATATAGTGGAAGTTTTGATCTTCCCTCTGATGTAAGGGGATATATTTGTTTCCAAAGTTCAAAGGTAGAGAACAAAGACTTTTACACAAAGCTTTTGTTTCATCTGTGAACTGTATTGTGTAACAAAATGTTTGCGTTATCTTAAAGTGTCTTCTTTAAAATAGAAAACAGCTAGTCTGAATATAACTGCAGTCATCTCTTTATCTGATAAAACCTGGGTAGAAATTAAGGATTTTCAACAACTGTAGCTAATTTTGAGTTGTGTCTAACATCATATGAATATTTTAAGTTGCCAAACTATCTTAACCTATCAGCTCTTCAAATGTCCCTCCTCCCACCGTGCCCAGGCTCTTTGGCTGCTATGAGTCCCTGGCTGGAGGCAATACTGGAGATGCTGTGGTGGATTTCAGTGGAGCCGTAGCGGAAGCCCTCGACCTGCAGGCAGGGAAATACTACGCAGATCAAGCCAAACAAGATAAGTTATTTGAGGAACTTCTTAAGGTGTGGAATCGTGGAGGAATCATCAGCTCCTCCATCAAGGTAAGTGACTATCTGTTCCTGCAAGTTTTTTCTGTTTACGTCTCTTCAGTCTTTGACCATGTCAAAATTAAAACATTTTCTCTCAAATTCACAGCCGCAGGGATTTGGACTTGAGTCAAAGACGGATAATGGGCTGGTGCGAGGCCATGCGTACTCGGTAACTGATGTGAAACGAGTGCGTTTGGGTCATGGGCTGTTGGCCTACTTTAGGAATGAAACCATCCCACTTATCCGCCTGAGGAATCCATGGGGTAAAACTGAGTGGATAGGAGCGTGGAGTGACAGGTCAGGAGGGGTCATGTGGGAGTCATTTTCCTATCACTGGGTTGGAAAAAATGTGCTTTGAAGAGACATTACAACTGGCACGGTCCCAAAAATGTCTTTATAAATCAATTTATTAGCTGAAAAAGATACCATACAGAGAAAGTAAGACAATCAATTTCATTGTTCCAGTTTGCCAAAATATAACTTGGGTTTACGTCTGAAAAATCTACTATACAGGTGAGGTCAAGGATGGCATAAAATGGTCTCATATCAACCAGGTCCAAATCTGAAAAAAAAAAAAAAAAATGCTTATTTGGCATTATCAATTAGTTCAGACAACCTACTGAAATTACAATGAAAGTCTGATGTGTGGTTTAAAAGATTTGAAAAAGGGAAAGCTCTGAAAAAGTATAATTGATATCTGTAGATTTTTATGGTACAGTCAGAATCTACAACATATTTTATTGGGATATTGTTTTATATTTAAAGCCTAAAAGTGCCTTTTTATTCAGCCTCCTTTAATCTGAAACCTCTACATACAGTCTAGTCAAGTGGCTTCAGAATAATCCAATTAGTAAATATAGTTCACTTTTAATCTCAGGATCTTTACAGCTGTTCTGTAAAGGTCTCAACGGTTGGTTAAAGAACAACATTTGTTCTTCTCTTTGTAAGTAAAAGCACAAATATTTCAGGCTCTTATTTTCTTTTACTGTTAACATGAAACATATTGAACTACAAATACATTTAGCTTAACTTTCTCTAGGTACCTTTCTTTCTAGGTACCTTTCTTTCACCTTTCACCTTTCTTTTTCCAGGTCTCAGTACCAGAGACCTGGAAACTTTCAAACACACCTATTTTCTTTCCATGTCACAGGATAATGTATGTAAGGCCCTGTTTACATGACAACGATCCAAAGAAAATTACAATTTTGTTCCATTTCTGTTCTTCCATTTACATGAAGATGTTCTAATTACTATCTTTGTTTACACAGTAACAGTACACATTGAAAACGTGGGCATGTTGTGGTGGCGAAAAGAATAGTGCGACCCACGTTTGGAGGCCTTTAGTCCTCGACGCGGCCGTCGCAGGTTCGATTCCTGCACCTGACAATATTTGCCGAATGCCTTCTCCCCTCTTCTTGCCCCCATTCAACCTACTTTCATATAAGGGACACTAGAGCCCATAAAAAACCCCTGGAGGAGGGCATGGTGAGAGCATTACATTGATAACATGTAATGCTCTCACCACGCCACTAGTTGGTGCTAGGTTCTTGAAACTAAGTACTCGTGTTTAAAAAAAAAGTTCTACATGAAAGCACGTCAATTTGCATTTTCCCATCAGGTATGTTCTGGTGTCTCTGTTCACAAGACAACGGGCACCGGTATGTTTTAGAAGCATTGCACTCTGGAACCCGTGTTCAATCTGTGCCGTTGTCGGAGAAAACATTTGGTGGTTACATGTCAGTAAAAACACAACAAAACTCTTCCGTTTTCGCCAAAAAATGTTGCGTAAACAGGGCCTAAAACAGTTGCTTTCTAAAGCAGAACATTCTCTGCATTTTTTGAATGCTTCCAGCTAAATAACCACCTTTTTGGTTTTGATTATTGTTTGTTAGTTCTGAAGAATGGTCAAAAGTCGGTGACACAGAAAGAGGCAACCTTGGCATCACAGTGGCGGACGATGGAGAGTTTTGGTGGGTCGGGGTCTCTGATCACACTCCAGCTATTTCATTTGATTCCTAACTGTTCATTATTGATGCGCTCCCTGTTTGGATCAACAGGATGTCATTCACAGACTGGTGCAAGAACTTCACTGATGCAGACGTTTGCCGTCTAATAAACACCTCACTGATCAGCATCCATAAGACCTGGAATAAGGAAGTGAACTTTGGGAAATGGACTCGAAACAGCGACCCCCTGCTGAACCGCTGCGGTGGTTGTGTTAACCACCGGCAGACATTTCTGCAGAACCCACAGGTACTGACGGCTCAGAAGACTCTCGGTCTCTCCACCACTGACAGTCTGTCCATAGACTTAGACTTAGAGACTTAGACTTGACTTTATTGATCCCTTGGGAAGACTCCCTCAGGAAATTATAGTTACCAGCAGCTCACAGGCAAAAATGTGGCACACAGTAAGCATACACAAAAGAATACAAAAAAATACAAATTAAATACAAAACAAAGAATATAAATACAACACAAAAGGAAATTATAGCAATTTGGTGGATAGATTGACCAGTGATATGGTATTGCACTGTATGGTTTGGCCTGATAAATATGGAGTTCACATTTGTAGAAAATGTGAATAGAAACAAATAACGTTATAGAAACAAATAACTAAAAACTAATGCATTTTCCCTTCTCTTCCAGTATTTGTTTGATGTCACCAAAGAATCTGACGAGGTCCTGATCTCACTGCAGCAGAAAGACAGAAAGATCCACAGGAAAGAAGGTCAAGGAGACAATCTAAGCATGGGCTTCAACATCTTGAAGGTAAGGCAAATTATCCGAACAAATCTCATCTGTAAAAAAACAAACAAAAAAAAAGGACAATGCTATTTGTGAGGCAAACACAAGTTCACAATGGTCATTGCAGTAGCAAGCTCTTTTATTTTCATGTGTGTGGTATTGATTATATATTTGTTTGCAAGGGAATTCAGGTGTGCAACTCGATATACTGCCACCAAGTAGTGAGGTTATAATAATAATACCATAATAATATTTTCATTAAGATGGACATCACCTGAAATTTTGACCATGACTGTCACTATACTGGTTTCTTCAAAATACTTGAGCAGCAAGAAATATGTTTTTGGGGGCAAAAATTATTGGCCTCTGTGTTAATGGAGCTTAATTACAAAACATAGAATAGTTTCAATTGTAAAGTTTAAACAAAAAGTTGTGTAAAAATCATTATAATATAAAACAGTTAATACAGTTAATAATTGTGCAAAATATATTAATTTCACATTTCTAGTCCTCTACTTCACTAAGCAGTAAACAGACAGGTGTTTAATTTAGCTCTTATCTGAACCAAAGCAGACCTTTTAGCCAGAGGCTGAACACATCTGTTTCAAACTGAGAGGCAAAATGCAGCCAAAAACTTTGATGACGATTTTATTTTTTTCTCTGCAGAAGTTGCAGACAGGTCTGGTTATTTGGTTCAAGTCTGGTGTGTTGCACACGGGATACTTATATCTCCTGTGTGTTACACATTATTTACTTTCCCCACTTGAACATAATATACAGCATTATATTTAACCAACAACTCAACAAAGACATGACAGAACTGACAGAAATATCATGTAGAGAGTTATTGAATAGAGACAAGAAGCTGTGCACACAGTTCTCAGTGAAAACAAACTTTGCTCATCATGTTGAAGTGTCTCATTTAAATGAAGCCATCTGTCCACACATGTCTAAACTGATGGCATGTTTCCTCACATCGGTCTTTAATGCCAGAGACCTGGAAACTTTCAAACACACCATAGATTCTGTTATCACTTCGTTAAAGGTGTGACATGAAGGGTTTGTGATAAAGAGCTGTGTGGACAATATCTGTTAAAATACCAGCAGCACACTAAATTGAAACTTTGATTTGTGATGATTTTATCAGTGATTTGTCATCTTTCATTTGACAGAGTCAAGATGGTGTTTTGCTTTTGCCTGTTATATTTAAAGAGCATTTCCTGTATGAGATAAGCTTTGCATTTTTTCAGTCTAACCTTCAGTACTTACAGTACAAACACTTTCTGATCCTCTTGAAACTGCAATATACAACCCCACCACTAAGGGGCAGTCATTCCTCAAAGTCCTGTAAAATGTGGAGGTTTCTTTGCAAATCAAGTATCTATAAACTTGAACACCTATGAGGCATAGTGCCCTTTCCAAACTTCAGTGTACTTTATTCTGATGTTATGTGATAGATCAACACAAAGTAGTGCATAAACAGCCAGTATATGTCTTTCTTCCAGCATTTGTTTTTACAGATAAAAAGTTAGTTTCTTTTTAAGCCATTTTAGGTTCAGTACAAACATATTTCCAGAAGGATTACAGGCTTGTTAAAAATATAGTTTTTCACAGTATGTCAACTAAATCGATATAAATATGCTAAATCTGCAGTGACGAATGTACAACCGGGTATTACTTTGCAGGTGGAGGTGAACAGGAAGTATCGTCTACACGACTTGGTGACGCAACAACTTCTGCATACCTCCACCTACATTAATGCTCGGTCGGTGTTCATGAGATGTGAGCTGCCACAGGGCCGATATGTCGTCATCCCGACCACCTTCAAGCCTTTCATAGAAGGAGAGTTCATGCTCCGGCTTTACACGGACGTGGACTCCGGCTGTCGGTATGACACCCATAATTCAAATTCAAATGATTCAAACTAACCTAAGCATTGTGTATTTCAAAGCCTCGAGGGAAAAACTTTTAAAATGTTGACCCTGAATGATGAATTGTACTTTATAGAAGCAATCAGATTTGTGTTTTGGGGAATAGCTGAGCTTTTTTCTGGCCAAAGATTGTGTTTTGATTAACTTAATTTTTCTCCATTCTTTGTTTTGGCAGCTCAAACAAGGGAGCGTTGGGTTTTGCTTGGTCTAAAACATGAAATGTGTTTAAGTCAGACTGGCTGCCTTTTGATTGAGATCAGAATCTGAAGAAACGTGATTTCTATCCATGTCTTCCCTCAGGGAGCTAGTGAAGGACAAACCGCAGACTAAATGTTGGACTCCGCTTTTTGGATATCCTCAAGTCGTTACTCACATATCTGTGGACAGAGCTGAGATCGGTCAGCAAGGAGACCAGGCGGAGGGTAAGAGAATATTTTTTCTAACTAGTCCTGCTCATTTATAAATCACAGAAATAAAATTAAATGCATCTTTTAGGCATAAACCCATATCTGATCATTTACTGCGAGAACCAATCAGTGAAGTCCATCGCCAAGAAGAACTCTTTGAAGCCGGCTTTTGAATTTAGCGCCATTTTCCACAGGAAGAAGGTCACAGAGCCCCTAACAGTGCAGGTAAGTTTAAAAATCAGACAAGTGACTAATTAGTCTCGGATAGATTGGTGGGGCTGGTATTTACTGCCCAGTTTTTAGTCATTTACTGTTGTTAGAGCTGAAAAAAAAACCAAAAGGCAGGAAAAAACACTTTAAATGACAACAAAGCAGAGACAAGATTTCTCTTCACGACATAAATGGTAAATTGAAAGGCTTTCCCAATACATATTTAAATAAGCTAAATGCTAATGAGACTTTAAAGCAGTGGTCCCCAAACCCCGGGCCACCTATCAGTACTGGTCCGTGGACCAATTAGTACCGGGCCACTCAAGAAAGAATTCAATATTTCCATTTTATGTATTATTTGAGCCTGGAGGATCTTTTATTTCGAAAATCCTCAAACCAGATTCTCTTGGTTACATCTTGCACCAACATTGAGCCACAAGATGAGTAAGAAACAGATCAGATGTCTTTGGAAAGTTTCTTTGTGAAGGGAAAAGGCCCAGAGAAGAGACAGGAGAATGGATTTATCCCAGTAGGTGATTCCCACAGTCCAAGCTGCTCTGCATGATATTGTGACCAACTCATTAATGAGGCAACAAAGCCTTCAAACTGCTTCGCCACATAGAGACCAAGCAACCTGTGCATTAGCAACACTTCCGGTGTTATTGTCTCTCATCACTGCCAGATGGGACGTCTCGTCACAGAGAAACGCGCTCAGGGCTCCCATTCGTCATTATCGTGAGTTGAAATTTTCACAAACGTAAAATGTTTGTTTTTGTTGCGCATCTGTATCTTATTTTGAAGGCATATGTATATGTTACCATAGCGACCAGAGTCACAGAGCGTTATGGGAGTGAGACGAGATGAGAGAAGTGGAGCTTGTGAGTTTTAGGTCTGGTTCACACGATTTAAGAGTTGTCGGCTGATTCTGTGACCACACACAATACGAACCGACAACAGTACAACAGGTTCGATCGGTTCGTGTGTCCAGGCACACGGCAGGAGCAACACAACACACACAACACGAGCAGAAGCATGATCTGACAGTTTCCTCCCATCCCCCCTCTGGGTCGCAGCAAAAATGCCAAGTCTTGACTAATTCTGCGGTAATCAAAAGGTTGCTTTAAAGCACATGTACACAAGTTTTGGCAACCCTGGCAAAGATTTTTAAAACCCCCACAAATAGTTATTCAATTTATGTAACCATAATGCTTCCACATCACTGTGTTAAAACAATATACGTTTATTATATATTCCAAGAACTGTAGACCAGGGAAGGAAGGGCTAAACATGCAACACCTTTTCTGCAGCACAGTATGTCAGTTTTACACATAATTTAAAAAAAACTGTAAATTAATTGCAGCCTGGGAAAGAGTTTCAATTCTAACGCAACAAATCACCTCCTGTGTTATTTGCTACTGAACCTGCCTGGTCTTTTCCAGCTGTGGAGCGATGACCTTGGATCGGACAGATTTTTGGGCCAAGTCATGCTGTCCGGGAGGCCTGATGACAACACTCACCCTCAGCTGCTCCAGCTGAAGGATAAAGGTAGTAGGAAGGCGGCCGATATGCCCGGCAAAATTGCCCTGAGGATCCTCACTTCGAACGAGCTGACGGCCTTATAATGAGACATTTGAAACGTACAGTATCTGACTAAGTATCATCGATGAACTGAAACAGCTTGAACACCGTCCATTATTATTTTTAGAAAGTTAGGAGGAACGCAAGATGATTCTGACCAGATTGTTGGGTTCATTTTGACTTCTTTTTAGAAAAAACAAAGTGTTTTTGTTTACTACTATTTTTATATTTGTGTGTTTGGGAAAGTATTTTTTCATGAAACAATGAGTAAAACTGAAGTAACACTCCAGAGCCTGTCAGTGAACTTGACAGGATTATGCTAGCTTGGCTCAAAGGCCATTTCGACTGAAATGGCGTTCATGAATGAAATGTTTCAGTTTGTGTAGGCCATGCTTCCAAATATTTAATTAACATTAACAGCCGCCTCTATCGGATCAATACTAACAAAAGGATAAAAAGTATTTAAATAATTTCCTGCTTTTCTAATGGTTGCTTCTGATAAATCAAGTTTCTCCTCAACTTTTTACATCTCAACATATAAAGCCAAAAATGTTTGTCTTGCATGAAACGGCTGCCACCACTGAAGATGATTGGTGTGATCTATAACCATCAGCTTTGCCTTTATTCTAGTTAACTGTCTTTTAATGAGTACAATAAATCAAAGGTAAAGGGCTTGTTATTTTGCAGCAATTTTTTAATATGTATTTTAAATGTCTTAAACAAGGGGGCCTTCTGTCACTTATAGGAGACTTTACCATGATGTAAATACATGTCCTTCTTTCATGCCTTTCAGATTGAACAATTTCCTTTCTTCCTCACTAAAACGTACACTGTTATTTTAGTGATATTTTGCATTGTTACCTTGGTTGGTTTCAATTATTCCTTCAATGTATCAACTGGTAATCTTTTGCAAATAAAACATTGGTATTTCCTATTTCTGACGCTGGCTCCGCCCCCATGCTGACGTAGAGCAATCCTCCCCCAATTATTCCCCAGCGTTTGTCAGCAACTGACCAATCAGCGGTCATAATTTATCGGCAGTATGTGGCTGAACTGACTTCCGACTATATCGTCAGTGTTTATCATATCAAACACACTGCGATCAGAGAAATTGAGGAAGATAATAAGGAATCGTGAATATGCGATCCCGACAGTCATTATCCAGAGCGTGTAGAGGGTGGAATATAATTTACCATATTTCCAAAACCAAAAAGGAGTCTGGAATAACGCAAGGAATAAATCATGGGCTGCAGCCCATCTCAGGCCCAGTTGAATGAAACTGATCAATGGCTCAAGGCTAATGGCTCAAGGTTAATGGCTCAAGGCTAACGGCACCAAGCTAAGGGCTCAAGGCTAACGGCACCAAGCTAAGGGCTCAAGGCTGACGGCTCTAAGCTAATGGCTCAAGTTTAACGGTTCAAGACTAACGGCACCAAGCTAAGGGCTCAAGGCTAACGGTACCAAGCTAAGGGCTCAAGGCTAACGGCACCAAGCTAAGGGCTCAAGGCTAACGGCTCCAAGCTAAGGGCTCAAGATTTTTTTAGAAATAAAATATAACTCAGTCTGATTAAAATAACACTGCTAAAGATTTAATAATTTAAGTCATTACTCACCCGTTTTGTACAGCATTCACACTCACATTTAACCAAACGTCGCGTCCCTCCTCATTTGTCCTCTTGGGCTTCATCATTGATTTCTCTGTTTTCCGCTAACAACCGTTCAGATCTGATGTAGGATTCCATGGAGAATATTCTTGTCCGGCGCCTTTGACTCGGTGTTGGCTGATAAGGCAGAAATTTATCAAAAAATATATTGGGTAACTCACTGACTTTTACTGTCTCTGCCATTATAACACTGTTTGTCGGGGTTTGCGCTACTTCCGCATGCTTCCAATTTTTTTCCAAGTACACCTCGCTGCACCAAACCAGTTTTTCTACTACTTCTACAAAAAAAAATAAAATCTTTTGACGAGTCGCCTCCTGGTGGCTATTTCAAAAATTGCTGGTTTAGGCTAAACGCTTCCCGTCTTTCAGATGGAAAGTTAAGGAAAATTGAGCTTCTGTCCTGGGAAAACTCAGTTTGAATATATTTATCTGTGCTCAGTTTAAATAAAAAGAAGGAAAATTCATCTTCTAATCCTCCTTAGTTATAGCAATCATAACAAAACTCTTCTTAGGATAAAACATGATCCTAAAAGATCAGTTGCTGTGGTGTCAAATTGGACATCGCATCATTTATTTTCTAAATCTGTCCTTAACTGTTCTGCATGTACAGTTTTCATTGAGGAGATTGTCCGACGTATGTCCCTATTGCTGCTTTATTTTTCTTTCTGTTTCCATAGTTTATATAAAAATATCCCTCTATTGAGCTCACCGCTATATTGACAACATGACTAATCAATTTGATTCCTATTCGAACTCAATGAAAAAAGAACTTGTCATTCTGAGGCATTGACATGTTCCTTGATACACATATTTAATTTTGAGAGATGAACTAAAGATTTTGAGAAAATAGCTGATCCATAGTATTTTGCCTGACCAAATTTCTTCAGGTGGGAATCACAGTGAAGTTCAGATCGCTGGTTCCTGCCAGTTTATTTCATTCCCACAGTTAGTTCAAATTATCAGTCGTGCAAATATTAAACAAAATAAAAAATTGATTTAACATAGATAATCATATTTGTGATGCTAATATTATTCCTTGAAGCTTGAGATCGGTAAACAAGACCAGCAGGTTTCTATTGGTTTTACCTTTAGGGGACGTGGGGGTGTTTATTTTTTATTTCCTCTTCGTTAAAAACTTTCAGAGATCCAATCAGCAGTTTTTCATGACATACTCCCACACACTGATATAGCCGTCAGGCCACCTTGTTTTTGGGAACTCCTCACAGTAGCATAAATCTCATTTTCATTTAGAGCAAGGTGCGGTAGTTGTTTTTGTGTTTTGGCTCCTGAAGCTGAAGCGTCGACTGACTTGTAAACACCTGACCTGGAGTTTGAGGGAATAGTGAAAGAATCTAAGTTTATCTTCACAGGAATAAGTGTTCCAGTTGGTAAGTGTTTCTGTTCTTCATTTGTAACTTTTGAGAACATGTTACATAACTTTGGCTTAAAAAACTGATTAAAGCTCATCGTTTGCTGTTTACTGAACCTCAGTTTGATCTTTACTTTAAGTACGTTTTACTTTCTGTTTCTCTGGTTTAAATAAACATAAACCTGTTTTTAAACAAATAGTTTTCTCGGACCTTTATTTTAGTTCACATACATCTTGGAAACACTGGGAAGTGAAGGTGGTGTCACCTGTAACAAGCAGACAAAAAACAAACTTTTTTGAGACTTGTTTTCAATATTTTCTGCTGTAATACTCCAATAAAGAGAAGAAAATTAAAATCTTGACATAAAAATTGTAAATCCAAGGTAAGTCACAATAAACTCTCAATCAATACTGAAAAATCAGCTATCAAACCACCTCACCATTCAGGTATGCAGGTAAAATGTCAGTGGTAAACACATCCAGCGTAATGATACTTATGTTGTAGAACCAGCAAAGGTGAAGGTGACAAATCATTTTTTATCTGTCCACATAAACTCAATGAGTCATGAGTCAGTCTGAAGCAGAACAGCAATCCCACCAAAACTAAACAAATTTTGATTCCACCCATATAAAGACCAGAATCCTCTGCTGTCGCTCATCTGCAGCTGTGAGGCCTCAGCAGCTCCACCATGCCTGTCGCTTATAGAAATCAGCACTATGCTGAGCTGAAGAAGCAGCACAACCAGAAAGGGACGCTGTTTGAAGACCCAGAATTCCCGGCCACCAATTCATCTATTTATTACAATGAACCCCCTGAAGGAGTTGAAGTTGTGGAGTGGAAACGGCCCGCGGTGAGTTTATTCCACTCTAGAAATGTTTCAAATCTCCATCGATTAACTTTTTCTGTGTGCTGACAAAATAATGTTCTTGATCATCCTGAAGAGATAATCCTAATTTGAACAAGTGAAGCAACTCACTTTTTATGCTTTCCCGTTACTTTCAGGATTTATTTTAAAATCTGTGCTTTACCAGATGAAGCCAGACTCATTTCAAAGTAAAAGGAAATGACAAATGTATTTAATTTTTTTTACAAATAAAATCTTAAAAGTGTTTGCACTTTTTCCAAATACATCCTTTGAAACTTTCTACAAACACTTTTAACTGTAACAACAGCTTCAAGTCTTTGGGGTTTGTCTCCAGGGCCGGCCCAAGCATCCACTGGGCCCAAAGCAAAATGTGGTTTTGGGGCCCTCTATTTCTGCCAACAATGTGGATTGCTGCAATCAACAGTCAGACAATTAGATCGTCCGCACACCTGTATTACATCTCTGACAGTGCTGTTTACATAATATATACCCTGAGCATGTATCATATAGCTAATTGATTCATCTTCACCAATTTCCTTAACTTTGGGAAATCGGAGATCAGCCTGTGTTTACACATGAAGCCAATCTTTTCTCCTGATCTTATCTTTATGAACAAAGGTTTAAAAATTTTGATTTTGCACAAAATAAGTATTTTTGTTATTTTGTGATTTATAAAGTGTTTGAAAGTTGTGGTCATCCCTGACTAACATTTGTCAACAGTGTTATTGGTGTATTTCTTTATTAAAGCCACTACCTTTAAAAGAAAACATATATATATTTATATATTTTAGGAAATATGTGAAAACCCACAGCTCTTTGTAGAGGGCATCAGCTCTCATGACTTGAACCAGGGGACAGAGGGAAACTGCTGGATGGTTGCTGCCTGCGCCTGCCTGGCTTTAAGAAAGGATCTCTGGGAGAAAGTGAGTTTACTTAAAATTGCTAAAATAGTCTGTTCTAGCACTTCAAAATATGTATATTACATGCAAAATATTTGCATTTCCAAAAAAACCCTCATATTTATTTGGAAAATATTCAATAGTTTGACTTTCAAACTTCCACATGAACAGAGACTGGTGGTTTTGTGGGACTTTGGTAACAATTTGTCCCCAAAACTGTGGTATGCAGTCTTCATTTGAATACCAAAGAAATCCCACTAGCTTTCAACAGTGCAATGAGTGGAGGAGAGAAACTATGAGAGTGATCTGTTCCAACAACAATGCAGCTGGTTCAGTTTCGTTCTTTCAAAATATTTCAACACAACACTGTAAAAGATTGCCCTGTATTTTTACAGTAAAATGCTGGCAGCAGGGTTGCCAGCATTATACCGTTAATATACAGTACCCTTACTGTAATCAACTTTACAGTATATTACCGTCACAAAAGAAATCTTTTGATTACAGCACATTGCTGTTTTTAATCAGATTTACAGTAGACTACTGGCAGCTGTGTTTCCAGTATATTACAGTTTTTCTATGGTACCATTACTGTTGAATTCACATACAGCTTACTACTGTAAATTTCCAATATAAAATAGAAACATGAAAAGAAAACACTTAGAAAATGTAAGTTCCATTATGTCAACCATTTATTTTGAAAAAAAAAAAAAAAAAAACAACTCAAACATTGCTCAGACAACACACTGCCAAGATAAGTTAAGCATTGTGCTTGTACAGTCAAAATTACAAATTACATCTGAAGAACAGAAAGTGGGAGCCTTAACAAAATGTATGCTCTTAATTAAAAGAGATGTCTTAAGATCATGCTGACCTTTAAACCAAAAAAATCTCTCAAGAACACGCCTGTTCAGGGATAAGTTGCCTTCATGCCTGTATAGTTTTTTGTTTGTTTGTTTTTGCGTGGAGGGGCAACAATACCTATAGCTTGGTTAGAAAGTTCTCACTATGAAATTCCACTCAAAGTCCATGAGGTTTTTCAGCAGAGTTGAAACACGGGGGATGACAGTGACCGACTTCTTTTGAAAAGTTTTCCCTGTCCTCTTGGAGATGATCTTGCTACAGCTGGCCTTGGTCCGGGTTGATATCAAGAAAGCGCCTGAAAATGCAGTAATTTCAGATTAGCATATGATGCTTAAGGAGTCAGGGTTTAATGTGTGCTAGGTGAAGACAAACTTTTGAATGTTAAGAGTTAATAAAGAGACACCAGCATAACATTTAAACAGTTTTCTGCCAAGTCAACTCTGTGAAACTCCAAATTCCCAGTTGCTAGCATTCACCAATTTCACTTTAGCAGCTAATCATAGCAATTCAAGTTAAATTACACAAAAGAAAGAAAAAGAGCTTCCAAACATGTCAGTATTTGTAAATATGAATCATCAAAAATAACTTACCTTAGGATTGGCTCATAAAATGCAGGATTCAAATGGATAGTCCTTGTAAAGAAAGTTCTAGCGGTTGCTTCCACATGTCACAACAACATGTCTTCTTCAGAAATACAGTAGCGTTCTGTTTAAAGACAGCCTCCTTAACGTTGAATCTAAAATCATTCCCAAAATTCCCAAAATACTACAGTATTTTATTGAAAACGGTAATAATTGCCCAGAATGCATTGTTTTTCACGGTGCAGTACCGTTTTCAATAGAAACAGTATGATACTGTTCAGTTTTGGCTGTTTTTTTACAGCAATTTGTTACAGTGAACCTCTGGTAGTGTAAAGCAGAGACAAGTTACCCATAATGTTGTACCTTAAAGACTTAGAAATCTAAATATATACAAATAAGACATTTGGTAAATTTATTGTGCTTGATTGTCTCCAGGTAATTCCTGACTGGAAGGAGCAGGAGTGGGGTTCAAACTACGCTGGAATTTTTCATTTCCGGTTCTGGATCTTCGGTGAGTGGATAGACGTGGTGATAGACGACCGGCTGCCAACAAGCGACGGACAACTCATCTACTGTCAGTCAAAACAGAACAATGAGTTCTGGAGCGCCCTGCTGGAGAAAGCCTACGCCAAGTCAGTAAACCAAATCTGTTCCTCAGCATCCTGTACATTCACTGGCAGACAAAGCTGCATAGAAAGTCTTAAAATAGAAGAATATGTAGTTTTGTTTGTATGGTGTCACTAAAAAACTGTGAAAAATCCAACCTTTAGTGTGAGTACATTTGTTTGACTTGAATAAGAAGTATGTTACTTTTTTAACTCAAAGTAAAACAAAAGTTTTAAGTATAAGTCCATAACTTCATGCAAAGACAAGAGAACATGTCTAAACAATGCTGTTGTGCCTTATCTTCATGGATTATTTTGCTGAAAATTTTGCGTACACATTCATTCATTAAATCCAGATATAAACTAAAGAGATATAAACTCTATAAACATTTGTGAAATAGTAGGTCAGTACTAGGAGCTCTGAGTGGCATTATGACACCTGTGAAAAACCTCGATCTAACTCTTCAATCAGCTTTTGGTTTGTTTCTAAGAAATTAGAAATGACAGCAGCTCAGCCACCAAGTGGTAGGCCATGTAAAATCACTGCTGCACAGAGGTCACAGAGGTCACACTTCTCTGAGTCAACGGCTATAAATACAAGCTTCATATGGTCATCAGATTAGCTCAAGGACAATGTGTAAGGAGATTCAAAGGGTTTTCAATGCTTACCAAACACAATGTTGGATTGTACTCAGGTAAGCATGCTGCCACTTGACTCTGGAGATGTGGAGACATGTTGTTTGGAGTGATGAAACTTAGTTGGTTCTCGTCTGTAACGGATCCAGTTGTTACCAATTGTTGCTGCTGAATATCAACTCTTCAAATGTCCCTCCTCCCACCGTGCCCAGGCTCTTTGGCTGCTATGAGTCCCTGAATGGAGGCAATACTGGAGATGCTGTGGTGGATTTCAGTGGAGCCGTGGCGGAAGCCATCGACCTGCAGGAAGGGAAATACTACGCAGATCAAGTCAAACAAGATAAGTTATTTGATACTCTTCTCAATGTGTGGGATCGTGGAGGAATCATCAGCTCCTCCATCAAGGTAAGTGACTTATCTGTTCCTGCAAGTTTTTTCTGTTTACGTCTCTCCAGAGTCTTTGACCATGTCAAAATTAAAACATTTTCTCTGACATTCACAGACACAGGGATTTGGTCTTGAGTCAAGGACGGAAAATGAACTGGTGCGAGGCCATGCGTACTCGATAACTGATGTGAAACGAGTGCGTTTGAGTCATGGGCTGCAGACCTACTTCAAGAATGAAACCATCCCACTTATCCGCCTGAGGAATCCCTGGGGTAAAACTGAGTGGACAGGAGCATGGAGTGACAGGTCAGGAGGGGTCATGTGGGAGTCATTTTTCTATCACTGGGTTAGGGTTAGCTAACCCCAATCTTTCAGAGCTTTATTCTTACAAAATATTTTGAAAAGAAAATATAGTAGATGTTAGCTGGTTGACAAGAATGTCCTCAGTTTAATGCGGCATATTCATGTTAAAGGCTAAGCAGTATTTCTAAAATAGCAAAGATGTTCAGTTGCTTACATGACAAGTAGTTTTACTGTGGAATAAGTGCAGGCAAAAAACTATGAGAAATCTGTTAACAATGCAACCAATATGGTTAAATTTCTTAGGAATATTGCAACACAATCTCTGTCACTTGTAGGTAGTCACAGAGTATGTATGAATTTACTCTGTAAAAAAAACTATTTATTATTTTTCCATTTTATAGGGTGACACATGTGAAACAGTTGCTTTCTAAAGCAGAACATTCTCTGCATCTTTTGAATGCCTCCAGCTAAATAACCACCTTTTTGGCTTTGATTTTTGTTTGTTAGTTCTGAAGAATGGTCAAAAGTCGGTGACACAGAAAAGAGGCAACCTTGGCATCACAGTGTGGACGATGGAGAGTTTTGGTGGGTCGGGGTCTCTGATCACACTCCAGCTATTTCATTTGATTCCTAACTGTTCATTATTGATGCGCTCCCTGTTTGGATCAACAGGATGTCATTCACAGACTGGTGCAAGAACTTCACTGATGCAGACGTTTGCCGTCTAATAAACACCTCACTGATCAGCATCCGTAAGAACTGGAATGAGGAAGTGAACTTTGGGAAATGGATTCGAAACAGCGACCCCCTGCTGAACCGCTGCGGAGGTTGTATGAACAACACGGAGACATTTCTGCAGAACCCACAGGTACTGACGGCTCAGGAGACTCTCTGTCCCGCCATCGCTGACAGTATGTCTACTAACTAACAACTAAAAACAAGTTTAAAATTTTTCCTTCTCTTCCAGTATTTGTTTGATGTCACCAAAGAATCTGACGAGGTCCTGATCTCACTGCAGCAGAAAGACAGAAGGATCCACAGGAAAGAAGGTCAAGGAAACAATCTAAGCATCGGTTTCAGGGTCATGAAGGTAACACAAATCATCTACACGCCTCTCCATTGTAGAAAACAAGGACTCTGCGGTTAGTGAGGTAAACACAGGTGCATAGATGCAGTGTTGATTATATATTTGTATGTACAGTTAAAACAATACACTACATAAAAAGACAAATGTGTTTTTTTCTCATTATTTGATGTGACATCAGAATAAACTTTTCTTGTTTTAATAAACAAGAACATTTTTAAGGCAATTTGTATTTCTTTCTTTAAAGTCAAAAGTGAAAATACATTAAGATCACTGTGCCTGTAAACAATTTGGGACATTTTAATTATTGGTAACATCTGAGTTAATTGGATTACTCTGATACAGATAGAAATATGTTCCTCAGTAAGTACTGGTTAGCTACATATTATTACACTAGTTATACTAGTTCCTAACTACTGTTGTTAATCAAATTTGGTGTACCTTAACCTGAAGTGTTACTCCCTCATAAAATAAAATTATTTGGAAACCAGTACAACAAGTTGTCTTGTTGTACAAATTATCTTGTTTAAGTGACACACAAAAAAATAAACTAAAACAAAAGAAAGGGAGCAAATATATTCTAATCATAGTTAAATTACATGCACAGAATTAAGCTACATTGACAAATGTACAACCTGAAATTCCTTTGCAGGTGGAGATAAACAGGAAGTATCGTCTGCACAACATGGAGACGCTAAAATGTGTGCACAAGTCCAGCTACCCTCATGCTCGGATGGTGTTCATGAGATGTGAGCTGCCACAGGGCCGATATGTCGTCATCCCGACCACCTTCGATGCTTTCGTAGAAGGAGAGTTCATGCTCCGGCTTTACACGGACGTGGACTCCGGCTGTCGGTATGACACCCATAATTCAAATTCAAATGATTCAAACCAACCTTTGGTTGAAACTGTGGAAACTACTTTAAAATGCTGATCTGGACCCTGAATGATGGATTGTAATTTGTAGGAGCAAACAGATTGGTTTTTAGCACTGGGTCTGCTTGGTCTAAAACACGAAATGTGTTTAAGTCAGACTTTTGATTGAGATCAGAATCTGAAGAAACGTGATTTCTATCCATGTCTTCCCTCAGGGAGCTAGTGAAGGACAAACCGCAGACTAAATGTTGGACTCCACTTTTTGGATATCCTCAAGTCGTTACTCACATATATGTGGACAGAGCTGAGATCGGTCAGCAAGGAGACCGGAGGGTAAGATAATATTTTTTCTAACTAGTCCTGCTCATTTATAAATCACAGAAATAAAATTAAATGCATCTTTTAGGCATAAACCCATATCTGATCATTTACTGTGAGAACCAATCAGTGAAGTCCATCGCCAAGAAGAACTCTTTGAAGCCGGCTTTTGAATTTAGCGCCATTTTCCACAGGAAGAAGGTCACAGAGCCCCTAACAGTGCAGGTAAGTTGAAAAATCAGACAAGTGACTAATTAGTCTCGGATAGATTGGTGGGGCTGGTATTTACTGCCCAGTTTTTAGTCATTTACTGTTGTTAGAGCTGAAAAAAAACCAAAAGGCAGGAAAAAAGACTTTAAATGACAACAAAGCAGAGACAATATTTCTCTTCATGACATTAATTGAAAGGCTTTCCCAATACATATTTAAATAAGCTAAATGCTAATGAGACTTTTGCAAGAAAAACTAAAACAAATGTACACAAGTATTGGCAAATTTATGTAACAACAATGTTTCCAGCACATCACTGTGTAAAGTAATAAACTGATTTATTCAACATATACTATGTATTCAAAAACACTTTAGACCAGGGAAGGAAAGGCTGAACATGCAAGACTCCCACTATGTCACATTATGTAATTCAATTAGTTTGTCTATATGATATTAATTGCAGCCTGGGCAAAAGTTTCTATTCTAGCACAACCTGTCTGGTCTTTTCCAGCTGTGGAGCGATGACCTTGGACCGGACAAGTTTTTGGGCCAGGTCATGCTGTCCGGGAGGCCTGATGACAACACTCACATTCAGCTGCTCCAGCTGAAGGATAAAGGTAGTAAGAATGGGTACGATATGCCCGGGAAAATCATCCTGAAGATCCTCACTTCAAACAAGCTGACGGCCTTATAAAGAGACGGCGCCTTCATCAACATCGAAAACATACAGTATCGTTGTGTGTTGAACCAAAACAGCTCAATCACTGTCCACCTGAGTTAATTTTTATAAAGTTAGGAGGAAGGAAGATGCTTCTGACCAGATTTTGGGTTAATTTTTGATTCCTTGTCATTCTTATTGAACATGAGTAACCTTACTTTTAATAAGATGTAGAGAAACTCCATTAGTTTATAAATCTAGAACAAACTTAGGAATCATTCATAGAGAATCAATATTTAGCTTTATATTGTGCAAATCTAGAACTCAACCCAGAAAAACTGGAACCAACATTTAGTTTTTACCTCACTAATCTTCCCAAACATGGAGAACCAACATGTGTTTTTATCAGAACAAGAATCCAGAGAAACTCCTACCAGTTTATATGGATGAATTATTCTTACTCTTATTAAACATGGAGCCAATATGTAATTTTATACTTTTACATTTTTGTCTTTCTTTTGGTTTTGTTGGTTTGTTTGTATTTCCTTCTGATTCATGTGAAGCTCTTTGATCTGCCCTGATGCTGAAAATGTGATATAAAAATTACTTTACCTTCTTTTCATAAACTTGTTCTAGTTTTGACTATGTATTTTTTGTTTTTGGAAAATAATTTCTTCATGAAGCTATACTGTGAATAAAATTAAGTCAGTGACATTAAAACTTGATGCAAATACACCATTTTATCCATTAAAAAATATTCATACGTCATCGTTTGTATCGCTTTTAACAACAAAGCAGGTGATGCTTTGCATGTTTGACAACTTAAAAATAAATGTATTCTCCAGACTCTTGTTTTTCCTCCTCTTTTTATTTTCAATCCAGTTCCCAAACTGCAATATTTTGTATTTTTACACTCAGGACACAGCCATGCACGATTCAAAGTTCAAAAAGTCTATTGCTTCAACCACAGTTAAAAATAGTTTATCCAAAACCTCATTTCTCTCCCCCGATTCTTGCGTCCTTTTTTTTTTTTTTTTCAAAGACGGGGAAAGGTCTGCCGAGGTACGCCGGATAGATCAGCAGTTTTACAAAGCTAGACAGTAATAAGAGTAATAATAATAATAATAAAGATAATAATTTAAAAAGTAACATTGTTTGTCTTTGTTCCATTCTCTTGATACACATTAATAGAGGAATTTTTCACACCACGTGTACAGGTTTACACATTCAGAAGATAGGAATGTACAGGAGCAACCACAGAAAAGTGGGAAGGGAAGGATGGGGTGTGGGTGTGGGTGGGCACGTCAGTGGGGTCTCCTGTCCCGAAGTTCACCTTTGTGCTCATAGTTCAGACCTGTACAAGGGTTAGAAAGGCCAAATCGTCCCAGGGCCGGGGAGGCTTTCCGACAGGCCACACGCAGCGACAGAGGAGGGAGAAGAGGAGGAGGAGGGCAGCCGCGCTCGGCCTGGACTGACTGTGTGGGCCCGCACACAGAGAGCCGGGGTCAGCGGCTCGCTCCACAGATGAACTGTCTGCTGTAGAGCCCCCCGCCCAAAGAGGCGGATCCGGGAGAAGCGGCGTGTGGGTTGGACTTTCTCTGTTTTTTGGTTGTTGTTTTTTTTTTTTTTTTCAATTCCCAGGGTGCAGAACATTTATCGGTACCATACGAGTCACCTGAATTATTATCAGCTTAAGTTACACAGTTCTGAAAAACAGACAGGGAGGGCAGGGGGAGAGGACCTGCCATATTTACATACATACATACCCTAACAATCCCAGCCTATGTGTTTCAGGAGATAACAGTGCACAGTTTGTTTTCACATGCATGGAATCTGCTGCGTCCTCAGGTCTGTCGCCTCTCCTGCATCTTCTGTACAGAGGAGGTACAATGTTTCTGAGCAGCTACCCTGCACCTCAAAGGTAAGGTGGAAAGCAGGAGTGAGGCATCTTTTAGTGCAGATTGAGGCAGCCCCCATCATCATCATCATTACACAAACAGACCCACATTCACACAGGGGAGCTACAATGCCGGGAAGAAATGTGCATCTACTCATCAGCTGGAACGTTGTTCTTTTTGGTCGTTTATTCACTGCATTCTTTCTGTAGCCACTAACAAGGTTCTGACAGAACTTGTGTCCTACCATAGATCTGGTTTTCAAAATATGGCCTTGGGTTTTGACAATGTGTTTAAAAATCGTATCACCATTGGACATTTTCATATCAGTTGATATTGATGATTATTTGTTTGTTTTCTGGTTTAAATATCTGAAATGATGCCAAACTGTTGATGGGACTTTTCCCTTTTCATCCACAATTTTCAGGCTAAACCTGAAACTGCTGCAGCGACTCTTACGCAACAGGTTGTTGCTCAGTAACCAAAGACTGAATGAGAGGCTAAAGCCTTTTATTTGCCCACATCTCCCAGAATTCTGTGCGGTTCTGGAAAAGAGTTCTGTGAAATTATCAACATTTCATCTGACGTATTGATCAAGTGTCCATCACCATATATATTGTTATTGATTTATTGCTCAGCCCTAGCAAATTTCTTCAAGTTCCCTTTCAGAAACATTCCAGGAAGTAAATGTTAGTCTATTTAATTTATTCCAAAACCAGTTTTATGTGTATTCGGGGCCTTTGTGCTGTTGGAACAAGTCTCAGGTAAATCAGCTGGTGTCACTGAACTCTTTACATGAACACAGACTGAGAGGATGCCATTTGAACACCAAAATGGGTTTGGAACAAATAAAACTGATTGACATTAAGCTTTAGGAAACACAACCCCGAAGTCCCTGGTTTTAAAGACATCCCAAAAATCAGAGTCTGTGTTTTAAATGAAGTCTTCCAGTTCTGCTTAGAGAAGTGATCAATTATTCAGACAGATTTATGGTAGCAGCTTGTTGGTGGCTATAAAAAGTATGAAGCAGGAGGAACAGTTGACTTGTTTCAAAGCCTGATGTTAACACAACATTCAAGTCGAGGATGAGTTCATGCGAGTTTCTCACGGCATTGTAGGTGGAGGAAATTTCGGAGGAAACTAGTGAATGCAACCACAGACGGAAAAAAAGCTTTGTACTATTTCAACTCTAAACCAGGTATGAGAGGAATGAGTACGATTATAAGAACGACACTCCAGAGGCGGATAACAGAGAGGCGGATAACGCCCACCTCTCTCAAATCTGTCACATATTTGAAAACTAACAACAAAATGTGATGAGAAATGCGTCAAAATACACATTGGGGGGAAAAAGTAAAGCTTGGACGAGAAGCAACTTAGATTTTATGTCAGAAGGACGTGAAGTTTTTCACCTGACCAGGCTTCCTCTAATATTAACATTCAGAAGGAAAACTAAAATTATAATAAAAAGACGTGTCATTTTGTTGTTTTGTAAATGAGACATATTTCTACTGGATTTCATTTTCTGCTCACAGTTTGAGGACAGATGAGAATCCTGGACTTTAGATTGAATTCAGGATTATCATCTTCTTAATTCATCACTTTTTTTGTAATTCATCCAAACCATATCAGATGTTCTAAAAAGTATTCAAATCACTGAATCCGTTTTCATATTTTGTCATTTTATAACCACAAGCGTCATGTTATAAATACAAGACTGTAGCGCATGATTGTGGAAGCAGAAGGAAAAAAAATGCACAGCTTACAATTAAAAATATATGTATTAAAAGTGTAATGTGCCTTTTTTATGCAGCATTTATGTTCCTATAAGTCAAGGAGTCCAGCTACTAAGATATGATAATCCAGCTGGACTAAAAAGAAAAGCAAATCGATAAGAAGACATTTTAGAGACATGGAGCTAAAAATAGGACAATGCAGGAAGTAAATCTGCTCAATGGCACCTTGTACCTGCAAACCACTGATCATTTTCCTTCAACTTCACAATTATGCATAATAAATAAAGTCAAAATTAAATATACAAAACTGATGTTTGCAACATGACAAAATGTGGAAAGGCTTTTTGCATCGCACTGTATGAAAACAACAAAAAAAACAAAACACCAATGCTAAAAAATTAGGAGTAACAATGTTTAAAATGATAGTTTGTGTCAGAATGTTCATATTATAAATAATGAAGACTTTACATATTCAAAATGAAATTTAAAATAAACCAAATTTAAAAATGAAATTGAATTTATGTCCAGTGATTAAAACAGCAAAAAAATTAATTGCAAAAAGAGGTTGAGCAGAAATAATGTATAAGAACTGCAGAAATTGATTTTGGAATCGGTATTAAAGCTTTCATGAGTCATGGAGAAATCCTTCCTGAATCTGTTTTCCTCTTCCAGTAGTTGCATTCCCACATTCACTCACACACACCAACACAGGACACACAGCAGAGGAGGCGATCTGCAGAGGGTTAGCGGTGCTTCTTCACAGAACCACGGTCATGCAGGCTGATGTCGGGTCCAAACCGAGAGGGAAGGGAGCCAATCCTAACCCGAGATGGGGAAGAAATTTTAGTTTCTCCGTTTCACTGCTGCAGTAGCTTTTTATTTTTACTCTGGAGAATAAGCACCTTTTCTTCTCACTTTTACCTAAACTATTTTTCCTTAGATGTTTAGGGAGCGATTTGCCCCAAAACAAGACATGATGTGAACAGAAGTGCACGGTTTGTTTACACACGCACGCATACACACACACACACACCCACACACACCACACACACACACACATTTTTGACATACTTGTGATAGACTGCTCTACATGTACAGTGCTGGAGAAGTAAACAAGGAGGCAAGGTCTGTTTTTTCAGCAGCGTGGCCGAGAGGCTGCAAAGCCAGATGTCCGTCCCACAGACGAGGCCTGGAGGACGAGTGGCGGCGGCTGGGGGAGGGTCTCATGCCCTTGTGCTGTCACTGTCAGTCACACAAACCCGCTCTGTTCACCCAAACCCCTGCTGTCATGAAGCAACGCATCAGCGGCAGCGCTCCAGCCTTTGGCTTGGACAGGGAGCCCCACCCTCAGCGACTGCTGTTCTTTATGGCTTCCTTAGCAGCTACAATCAGAGGCGTCAGGCTGGAAAGAGGCTTCGCCAGCTTGAGGAAGGAATGCTGCAGGCACAGAGGAGGAGATGAAAGCACGGACAGGAGAGATTCTGTCAACTTGTGGGTAAGATTGTGAGAATCAGGTGACACGTGTGCACAGATGGAGAATACATCTAATATACGGCTCTGGAAAAACTTAAGAGACCACTTAAAATGATCACTTCTAGTCTTTATAGGTCTATGTTTGAGTAATATTAACATTGTTCTTTTATTCTATTAATGACTGACAACATGTCTCTGAAATTCCAAGGAAAAATTTTGTTTTTATTTGCAGAAAATGAGAATTATCACAACCTAATAAAGACAGCGTTCAAATAATGCAAAGAAAACAAGTTCAAATTAACTTAGAGACAACAATACTAAAGTTTGAACCCTGGAAGAGTTTAGAAATCAATATTTGGTGAAATAACCATGAGGTTTTCCATGGGGTTCAGTGCAATGGACTAAGCTGAATATTTCAATCTTAGTCAACTTTTAGCAATTTCTTAAGACACTTAAAATTAAAAAAACTTTAAAAACATTTTTTTTTTAGATATTCACCTGCAGCAGCTCCTTGGCGGAGCCTCTGCGGTCCACATCCATCTCCAGACAGCGGTTGAGGAAGTCTCTAAACACCGATGACAGCCTTTCAGGGTTCTGCAGCTCTGGAGTACCGTTGGTTGCTATCAGGTAAAGTGCCTGCAGTCAAACGTAATGATACTTTTAAAATTTAAATCCAAATGTCTTGAAACTATTAAATCAGCACATTTTTGAAAAAAAAAAGTCTAAACATTGCCTTTAAGTAAATCCAGCAAAAACGTGTATCTCCATTTTTTTCCCCATGTAAATATTTCTTCTGATCATCTTTACATCTCTCTGCATTTTCATTAATAAAAATCCAATAATCTGTGTCGAAAAGCTTGTGATCTTGATCATAAAGTGTTATGTTACAGGAAGAAGCAAAAGGATTTTTTTTAACAGTTGAGTTATCTCTATGTTAGATATGCAAGCTAATCAATACTCAAAATTCATTGTGAGTTAAACCTATTATAATGTCTGATGTTCAGTTGACTCATGTTATACTTTATATGGTGAAGTGGCTGCAGTCCCCTGTGGGACAGTAAAATATGACTTACACTTTGCTTTCAGTTGAACCTTTTCCCCACTTTAAACACCAAACACCTATCAGACCTTTATGCGATAGGCCAAATTATCCTGACCTCTACTGGATGTTAGAAGAAAAAACAACAAAATACAGCAGAGTTCATAGTTACAATGCGGCAGAATGTGTTTGCGAGGCATTGTATTGGCGCAGTGGATGCAGAGTCAGTTTGCACCTCACAGTGAAATGAACAACAACCTTCTCCTGGACTGTATTTACCCTGAGTGGATTCTCGTTCAGATAAGGTGGCTCTCCCTCCACCATTTCTATCGCCATGATTCCCAGAGACCAGATGTCCACTTTTGGTCCGTAAGCCTTTCGGGTCACCACCTCCGGTGCCATCCAGTATGGGGTTCCCACCATCGTGCTGCGCTTGTTCTGCTCCGGAGTGATCTGCGCGCAGAAGCCAAAATCGGCTGCAGAGGAAGGCAGAGGAAAGTTATTCAGATTGGCTTTTCTTCTCTAAAAAAAAGGTACTTTTCGGTACCAATCTTTGAACATGACTTACTGAGCTTCACGGATCCATCCATCCCCAAGAGGATGTTGTCACTTTTTATGTCTCTGTGGATAACCTGGTTGGAGTGTAGAAAGTCCAAAGCTTGGAGACACTATGAGGACAAAAGTAGAGGCACATACATTCAGCATCCGTGTTCCTAAAAGCACCAAACCTGGTTCCTTACCTCTCTGCAGACGGCGGCGATCTGGCCCTCATCCATACAGGTCTCAGTCACAACATCCGTCAGCGAGCCTCCAGCCAAATACTCCATCACCACCCACAGCTCGTCTCCTACCAGGTAGCTGCAGGAAGAAGAGAACAGGAAAGGGATGAATCTTTCCTTTAACAATAAGACTCATCTGTTTGACAAACCACTGCCTGTGGGATGGAGGCTGAAGCATTACTTGTAAAAACACATTATAGGTCTACATGGTTGTTACTTAGCAAAGATGTGACCACAACAGAAAAGCTGATGAGAAAATGAACAGTTTCTACTGTTACAGCGTTCCTGCTGATTTGAAACGCTAGGGGGCAGTGTTTCACCTCAATATAAGCTCAGCCAACTCATAAAAGGAGAGAGAAGGAAATCTGTAGAAGCAGGAGAAAATCATTTAAAAAGGAGGATCAGACATTTCCTCAGTGTCGGTACAGTAAAAGCTGAATAATGTTCACTTAGTCCACAGAGGCTAGTTAAATGGTTTTATTAATGTTATATAAATATACAAATATTATTAACTGAATATTCTTAAATAAGCCGCACTGATTTTTTTTTAGAAACTGAAAATCTTTAAATTTGGATCATCTCTAAAATAACCTTTAGAAATAAGGTTCTGGCTTTCAAACAACTAACCTGTCCAGGTAGTTCACTATGTTGGAGTTTTTGTTTTCCCTCATCACCAAGATCTCGTTGATGATCAGCTCCTTCTTGGGTTGTTGCTGCAGGTTCATCTGCTTGATGGCCACCTGAGACCACAGGTATTTATGGCTCCATGTAGATGAAGATTAGCAGGAGAAATTATACTATATACATTATACTTTACCTCTTGACCAGTTGCTATGTCGATGGCAGTGTAAACAGTGCCAGACGCTCTGAAAAAAACAAAATAGCAGAATTAAAAGAGAAACATACAACATAAAAACAAACAAAAAAAAGAGTGCAATAAAATTAGATTTTGCAGCATGAATCAAAATATCTTCAGCTAAAACCAAGTTGGTACAAAACTATGGATTACACCAGTAATGCAAATAATTAATATTTCTAAATTCTTCATCGGCAAACTTCTTTTTCACCACAAACCTTTAGATTTGCTTTGTGACATTTTACATTGTTTTTTACCGATGAAAATGTTGAGAGTACATTTGCGTAGAATTGCCTTTCACTGATGTCAACTGCTAGTTATTTGAGGAATGTCTCAGTCAACAGTGCATATCAACAATCTTACATTTCTTACATTTCTTTCTTTAAAAACAGCTCGATATCAGTCAGATTAAAGTCTTGCCACAGATTCTCAGTTGAATTAAGGTCTGGACTTTGACTATTTTGATTGTTGTGTTCTGCTGAAAGCTGAACTTCTGCCCTGATCTTCTGGAGGCACTCGCCGCTTTTCTTCTAGGATCGCTCTTTATTTTATCTCAGTACTGATTGAAAACTTGAAACATTTCAAGTTTTCATTTAAACTCTGAAGACCGTCAACAAAATTTTAATTCCTACCCTTTATGAAAAAGGGAGCCAGCACACTGATTTAAGCGTTTACTATTTTGGATGAGCTTCGATTTTCTATTAATCTTCACTTAATTGCATTTTTCCAGTGCAAAAAGTTAATGCACTGGAAACCAAAGTGTGTACCAGATCCTGTTTCCTGTGGCCTGATTTACCGCTGAACCTTATTTACAGTTCAGATCCGAGTACATGATGATTTCTAGCTTTGACTTTCGGGAGCAAAAACAACAAAAAAGACTTCTGTTTTTTTTCTGCTTTAAGTTGGATGATTTCCAGAGCTTCTTAAGAGACTGAAAGCAATTTGTTTACTTAATTTTATTGCCTGGTATCAGAGTTAAAAGGACGTAATACAGATGCATCTTAGAAATTAAACCACATATTCTTTCCTCAAGTCTCTCAGTTATGAACTGTTCTGTCCAAAAAATTTTATTCCAATAGGATATGTTGAAGGTTGTGTTTGTAAAACATAAAATTTCAAGGGGCATGAATGAAGTTAGGTCTGTATTTAACTCCCAGTTAAAAGCCTTCTTCTGAATTCCTGCTGCTGATTCTTCCTCTTTCTCCTCCGTCACAGGCTATGAATTATAAAGTAGTTTCTGGAGGTAATAAATCCAAGATAAGAGAGCAGAGAGTAAACAGACAACTACCCAATCTTCAGCTCTCCACTTGATCAAATATGGAAATGTTGAGCATGGTGTGAAGATTACAACCAGTGCATGTTTTTTTCTTAATCTGTACAGAGGAGTCGTGAACAAAAAAAAGGCTGAGAGAAGAGGAGACAGGCAGCTAGCTGGTGGAGCTAATCTGCGTTTCCACAATTTTGGGATTCAGTTTTCATTTCCTGTCCACTCACTTTTCTCACGGTTATCCTAAGCCGCTCTTGGTTCTCTTGCAGAGACTGATGCTTTAAAAAAAAAAAAAAAAAAAAAAGACTCATTTTGTTTGTTCGCCATGAAGAGACTTACCCTTGTCCTATTTTCTCAAAGCGTGTGTATTTCTTTTTGGGATCCCCCACGCTGACGATACTCCCTGAGTCGGAGAGAACAGAGACATAATCAGCATCCCGGCTGCATATTCCTGTTTTGATCCCCACAATGGATTCCTGGTGATTCAAGCTGAAGTTATATCACAGGCAGGCAGCAGACTAATTAAATACATTAATACACAGAAATTATTTTCCTTTTCTCATAATGCAAAGCACTTAAAAGAGCTTTTTATTGCAGCCACGTTCAGCCAGTCAAACTTAAGAACGCAGAAACATTCATACAACAGTTCTTTCATTGTTAGGGAAATTGGGGGAAGCTGGAATCGAACCAACAACCTTCGGATTACAAGACAACTAACTACTCTACCTCCAGTCGAGTAACCTGCATATTGTATACATTGACTAAAGAAGATCACAAATAAAATACAAACTGACACGGATACTATCAGGGCAAAAAAGTCTAAGTGAACAAACAAGAACAAATCTAACAAAATGACTCATTACATTTGAATAAAAGTCTTTGTCACCAACAAGTTTGTGGCAGGATATTTGACCACGTTTCTTGGCAGTGGGTACATTCCTAGAGCTCATTTAAATTGAATGGTTTTCTGGTAAGGGCCTGGCTTTTAAGAACAGTTCACAAATATTTAATAGAGTTGAACTGAGGGCCATTCCCAAAAGCTTAATGTTAGCCTGCTCACCCATTACAAAACCAGGTTTTATGTATTTTGGGATCATTATCCTTTAGAAACACTTCATTGTGTCCATGTTTCAAACACCTGACACAAGCTGTTCATCTGTGATGGAAGGAAATTGGTCAGAATATTTACAAAGAATCCAGGAACCACTAAGGCCAAGGCTAATGTATACTGGAACCAGCAGGAAAACCAGTAAACCAAGTTGACACAAACAAACAAAGACACCAAAATTTGGCCTCTGCTTTGAGCTATGAGTGGTACTGGTGAATTGCACAAACAGAGCTTTGCCTTACATCAACAGCTGAACGGTTGAAACTTGTACACTGCTGTGCCAAATGCAATCCTATTAAAAATGTATAAACTATGATTAAAAAAGGCCGGACCAGACCAACCTAAATGAGCTCCATCAATCCTGGTAAGAACAAATGTCAAACATCCAGCAGGAAACATAAACTGAAAGCTTTTTGGTAGCAAAGGGAAATTTATCCAAATATTGGTAAGAGTGCATGTGTATATATGAGGCAGTGTTTATACTTGTGAAGATTTCAATCCTTTGATAGTTTCAAATCTACTATTTTTGCTTATTTTAATTGGATGCATTTCTTTAGAAATGCGAGTAAATTTATCCATAAAAACAAACTCTCAACATCTAGCAAGTGATTTTCACAATTTACTGCTTTTCTAAAGACCGTCCCTCAGATGAATTTCACTCTCTTCCACGGCGGGAGTGAAATTACCGTAATAACCCGATATTGGCTGGAAAGCGAATCGTCTCCCCTTTCAGAAACCATTGGAATTTTTCAGATAGCGCAACATGTGGCGGAATTACGCAACCACAAATTTGTCTGGATCGTCGCCGATCCGTTGGGTCTGGAAGGGTTAATTCCATATTTCATTTTTTTGTATGAATACCCTCAATCACACTCTATAATTAGAATTGCCAAAGTTTTATATATAGTAAAAAAAAACATACTTATTTCTTTCAGATTTGTCTATGTAAGGAGTAATAATCCGTTATGTTGAAGATGTTTAAAGACGTACTGAGTCTTTCCAGGATCTCCTCATCTGTCATCTTGGACTTCTTCCTCTGCCGGTCGGTGTGGCGGTACATCGTGTTGGAGGTGTTGTCAGGCTGAACCTGCGACTCTGGTGGAGTTGACTCTTCTTTGACCGGGGCGGGAGGCTTTGGTGGGTCCATGACGGAGCGCGTGTAGATCTGCATCACCAAGAACCAGGACGTACAGTGACGACAGCAGCCGAGTGATCTGACGAACCGCTGGCTCCTGAACTTACAGATTTGGTGTGCTCAGGTCGAGGGGCGATGACCGGGGGCAGCTCGTCATCGTCGTCCTCGTCTTCATCTTCCTCCTCCTCTTCTTCTTCCTCCTCGTCCTCCTCTTCTGAAACGGGTGGAGCAATCGGGGGTTCTGTTGTTGACGTTTTGGCACCCTGGATGGGAAGAGATTCAAGTCGGAAGAGGTGAATGTAGCATTCAATTAATGCGATTTGTGGAGATCCTCACATGCTCCCCAAATGTAACACTGTTTTGATTTGTCACCACCAGGAATAAACAGCCTGCGTTCCCCAAACCAGCCAGGTTACACGTTCAAGATCTGTTTTTCTAGAGTGAAATGCTAAAAATGGCTGCTTGTGGGAACCACATTAAATAATTTAATGATTTAACTTAAATTATCATTAGAGATGCACTGAGATATTGACTAGTGACCAGTAAAAACCAATTTTCAAATTCAAAATTCCAATTTTTTTCCTAATAGTGAGCACACACTATTAAATTAGCTATCTATGTTATAAGTCTGGGGTTTAAAAGGAAGACATATCTTATAACTGAGCATTATAACATGTCTAAAACTCATGTTGAAAGAGAGATTATGGTTTTTTTCCTGCACCCTCCCCGCAGTAGTGGTTCTCCTTGACTAATACCAAGCTTTCCATGTATCTACATTAAGACACTAGGTGTCATCAATTGGCACCAAATCATCGGATTAAGACTGTTCTTTAAATATGTGTTCTATTTTAACTCAAGTTAAAATGTCCAAATTCATGTTGGAAAAATAGACAGAGTTGAATTTGAAATGCTACAATTAGGGAGCGTCTCGTCAATCACAACCTCGTCATCCAATATGGTTTTCTATCATATAAAACTTCCTGATACCCAAATAAAAAAGGAAACTCTTTATCAGCATTTTCATTTTGGCAATTTAGACTGCACCAAATCAATAGCTGGTTCTACACAACCTCATTTAGTTTAATTGTAGCTGTAGAGTTTCAAGGTTTATGATCTTTTATTATTACTTTTTAATGCAAATGTAGCCGCTAATAGTAGTTGGTTTGTCATCATTCCAACATTGAACATGTGCTAAATGAGGCAGTGCACACGTCGTCACGCTTGGTTTTGATTCACTGTTCACAAGTGGGAATTATTTTGTCTTGAGAACTCGTCTCATTGGCAGCTCCAGTGCCGCCAGTAGGTTCCACTGGTAACGCAGTTTGAGAAAGATTCCTCTGAAAGACACATTTAGAGATCACTCTTTTTGTAATGCTGCCCATAATAACCTCACTAATCTCTAATATAGTTTCAAATTTAAACTCTGAAATCATTTTGCCTTCACAATCTCCCATAAATGTTATGACCTTGTTTCTTTTTCATAGATAAATATTGAAAGGCTGCTAAAGACAGGGAAGCAAGAGAAACTCTTTTAAATGTTGTTGTTTTAAACAGATGTCAGAAATCGGCCACAAATTTTAGATTGGTGCATCTCTAATTATCATTCAACAAAAGTATTCAAAAACAAAATAAAATAAAAAAAGTGATCGTTGAGATCAAAACATGTTTGAGGTGAAGTCAGGGAAAAGTCATGTTTATGGCACGAAAAGCATTTATGATTGAAGAACTAAAAGGGAAAGTGAGGTTGCATTCAGTACATTTCTCTGTGGGCTCTAGTAAGGTGTGCCATGAACCAGGGATGGGGATGAATGTTTAAGTAGCAAGGCGTTGCATCTTTAACAGCGCTGAGCTCTGACATACTTCAACCCGGTGGCGGGCAGCATCTAGATGAGCCGCCGACACCCTGTTGATTCCTTTTATTTAGTCTGATTAATCAGGCATATTTAATATGCGCTGCCATTTTCTTTTTCTTCTTCTTCTTCCCCTTCCATCCAAGAACATTATTTGCCTTGGATCATCTTCCTCTTATGGAATGGAAACACTTCATCCGCTCTCGTCATGCATTAATGAAAGTGGTGCAGCTTAGTTCTGGTGATTAAAAGCAAAGTCCCAGTCCTTCATTGAGACAGACTGGGCCTCTGACTCGCTTCGAGGAAGACTGGGCCAAGACTGCAGTGCAGAGAGGAGTGCTCGGTGCATGTGTGTGTGTGCGTGCTCCTTTTTCATTGGGAGCCATGCAGTAATGTCTAAAATGGTGATGAGGTTACAGGCAGATTATTGGCAATGTGGATTAAATTGTTCAAATATGAGCTCATACATGCAGATTGACAGCCATTACAGTCCTCTGTGGAATATGCGACTGTCCTGCCATTTCAGAGATGGCAAGTCAAAGAAAACCACAAAAAAAAAAAGATTCTCTGTGTGATGTTTCAGAAGAAAATGAATCTGTTCAAGACATCAAAAGCTAATAGAGCCAATCAAACCCCCATGAAATATCAATACAAGTGCCTCTGAAATTGAATATTTGTACTGCAAAAACAGCCGGACGGCTCCGTCAATATTAGGCCATCAAATAGTTGAATTTAGCTTCACAGCCAATGTAGAGGTACATCATGTGGAAAGTAATATGGAGTAAGGAGTTACCTTGTCAAATAATGCGCTGCAGGTTCTAAGGCTGACAGGAGGCCCAGAAGACAGCAGTCGGTTCTGAATGTGAAGGTTGAAAATGGGAGGATTTACTTAAAACAAACCCATACAGAGAGTGAGACTAGGTGTATAGTATAGAGGAGGAGGTGGGGTGGGGAGTAGAGAGGGCTTCATCATCCCCCTAACACAACATGAGGGGAGGACGTGGCGGGAATTAAATATGCTTCCTGTTCAAAACAACATTCCCCTCTCCACTTCGAGATGCGTCAGCAGATGCAGGTGCAAAAATGTTACGTCATCATTTGTTCCGGAAACTGCCAATAACAATCAATTGAAGGTATGCAGAAGTAAATTACATCTCAATTACTGTTTCTAGATGGTCATAACACTTATCCTGCCGTCTGCATTTTACTGCTCAACGAAGACGTTTCATTTTGCATCAACGCTGATCGTCCTCACTGGATCTGATTTCTACCATAGTTTAGTTTTCCTTCTTGACTGAATGATTCATCTGAATTAACTTTCAAAAAGAAGTCCAGTTGTTTGATATTGTGGAGGCATCAGAGATTTTTTTTATTTCTGTTTAGCAGTTTAAAACAGGTATAGTGGATGTTTTCCCACTTACCTCCTTGTATTTCAAACATAGCTAAAGTATGTTTTAATATTTTTAAACATTTTTACAGAGTACATAATCATATAACCCAACATGTGCCTCGTATCCAGGTTCTCACTTTTCATAATTTTGTGGGTTTGTGGTAGAACCGCCTTACACTGGAATTACAGCATATTCAAACCTTTGGACTCTACTTCATGTGGGTCAAATGAAGACCATGTGAGAATATAAGAAAGCAGGAGTTTTTCATAGATCGTCTCTAAAATGAGACATTAAAACTGGCAGCACCTCCATTTATCTATTTTTTATTTTTTTAGCTTTTTTATTAAAAGTAGTGAAAACCAAACTTGACTGAAGCTAATATCTGACAGCAACTGACAGAGAGCATGAACAGACACCAAGCAGTTCTGCAGTCTCTGGAGAGTTGATACAAGGCAAAACGCTGCATTAGTTGGTCTGTTAATGCAAAATGCACATCAGTTTGGTTATCAGCAGTGTGATGAGGGCCTGCTGTCTGTCTTTGGTTATCATTTTCTTTACATTAGCTCAGGATTTCAGTGGCAATGAAGCCAATAGCTGAGTCACCTCTCGATGCTGCCGAACACTGAAATGCATTTGAAAGCTTTGCTCCCTGACTGACCGCCACACCCTTTTACCCTTCACTGGCCTTGCATGAAGAGATACCAGTGGATTTTCCCCTGGGCCATACACTCTTCTTCTTTCTCCTCTTCTTCCTCGCCCAGTGAATGCAGGCTGGGCTATTCAAAGCATAGATAACTGAGGTCAACACAGCGGGAATCTCTCTACATGCAGCTGAGCCTCCATGAAGCTTTTGTCTATGTTCGTTTTGAATTTGGGAGTGGATCGGGGAGAAAAAATAAAAAAGCAATAGGCAGCACACCTCTCTCTGCAGTCACTTATTTTTCTGCCGTAGGTGCAAAACTGTTTTGTATGAGTGGAAAATGAAGAGAATTGTGCCGTATATTCAAGGAAGAAAGCCTCTAGAGGGAAACAACAGAAATCTGGAGGATTCATTTAAGGTGTGTTTTGCAGAAATTCCCAAGAAAATGTCAATGAAAGAAAAGTGAGAAATTACATATAAAATAATTTTTTGGAACTTACCTGTTAAAGTTTCATTTACAATAAGATATTTTCTCTTTTTTTTATTCTGCATTCACCAGTTTGAAATCTTACATATTATTGAGTAAGAAAACCCAACACCAACCAAAGTAGAGTTAGGGACACAAAAACTCACCAGAGTGTTTGCTGCAATGTATCCATGCGCTGTCTTGTCTAAAATAAAAAATATATACATATATTTTACATTCTGTATGATTTTAATCTGAAATACTTTTCTGCAGTGTTGGCTGCTGGTGTTTTATTACCTCCCGAGGTGAAGCTCATGTATTTCTGGTTGTTGACGGTCTCTTTGGAGTCGTAGAACTTCAGCACGTCGATCACAGCTTGTGGATTCTTCTTCTGCTCCAGTTTGGTGATGTTTGAGGTCTGCAGGAGCCGTGCCCACTGCTCTGGGATTCCCTGAAGAGGACACGTGTTGACAGAGGAATATAAGTCAAGGTGTTGCAGTGAGTGCGACCTTTCTCCCACTTTTCTTCAGGTCCCTTAAAAATATTATTCCTAGACCTTTTAGGTCCAAAAAGTCTCACCATAACCCAAAGTTGCCTATTAAAGCTTATTTATGCTTTCTTCACCCAAGAAAATAAGTCTACCAACATTCTCAGGCATCACTGCAAGTTTTTTACATTTGCATAGCTGCCAATGAAGGGCAGTTCTGAGTTTCAGAGGAAAATAGCAAACATGGAAACTTTAAAGAAAATCTTAATCACGTACATTTCTGAAAAACATGCAAAGAAGCAGAGGCAATTCTTTGAATTAGGGGTGTCAACATCCAGTCCTCGAGGGCCGGTGTCCTGCAACTTTTAGATCTGCCTCTGCTGCACCACACCTGAATGGAATAATTAGGTCATTAAGGCCCTGGAGAACTGAGCTACACAAGGAGGAGGTAATTAATCCATTTTATTCCAGCGTTCTGTACCTGTGGCACATCTAAAAACTGCAGCACAATGGCCCTCAAGGACTGGAGTTTGAGAGCCCTGCTTTGAATACAGTGTAACAAAGTGAAGTTCAGCCATTTTTATCATCTTTGTTGCTTTCATTGATCACACATGAGCTACACTGTGCTACACATGAGCTACACTGAGCTACACATGAGCTACACATGAGCTACACTGAGCTACACATGAGCTACACGGAGCTACACATGAGCTACACATGAGCTACACTGAGCTACACTGAGCTACACATGAGCTACACATGAGCTACACTGCTACACATGAGCTACACGGAGCTACACATGAGCTACACGGAGCTACACATGAGCTACACATGAGCTACACATTAGCTACACTGAGCTACACATGAGCTACACCTGAGCTACACGTGAGCTACACTGAGCTACACATGAGCTACACTGTGCTACATATGAGCTACACATGAGCTACACTGAGCTACACGGAGCTACACATGAGCTACACTGAGCTACATGAGCTACACTGAGCTACACGGAGCTACACATGAGCTACACTGAGCTACACATGAGCTACACTGAGCTACACTGAGCTACACATGAGCTACACTGAGCTACACATGAGCTACACTGTGCTACACATGAGCTACACATGAGCTACACATGAGCTACACTGAGCTACACGGAGCTACACATGAGCTACACTGAGCTACACATGAGCTACACTGAGCTACACATGAGCTACACGGAGCTACACATGAGCTACACATGAGCTACACGGAGCTACACATTAGCTACACTGAGCTACACTGAGCTACACATGAGCTACACATGAGCTACACTGAGCTACACATGAGCTACACATGAGCTACACATTAGCTACACTGAGCTACACATGAGCTAAACTGAGCTACACTGAGCTACACATGAGCTACACGGAGCTACACATTAGCTACACTGAGCTACACATGAGCTACACGGAGCTACACATTAGCTACACTGCCCCCATGAGTATCGGAGGTATTGCCTCATTTGCTCCAGATATCTGTGCATTATCCTGAAGGTTTTTTTTTTTTTACATGGAAGTTGTTTGAGATTTGCCTTAAAATATATCCACAATTTTAATAAACTTTAGTCTGAGTAAACTTCTTAATTAAAAGATATTTCTTATTTGAAACTGTAAATGTTGAAGCGTTGAATGAAACTCAACATTTAGCACTCCGGGTCCCTTTTATATATTTTTGGAATTGTGTCTTCTTATGTGTTTTAATCCACTCGGATGGACAGTCTTTTAGTGCGGGTTAATGTCATTTACCACTCTCTGCACATTTTTACACTTGAAGCTTAATCTCTGTTGAAAATAGCCACTGCTACATAACTGGTGTCAGAAGGTGCTCAGGAAAAATGATACTTGGATAGCGATCCAGGGACAACTCAACAGTATTTCACTCTGTTCTCTTGGAAAAGCATGAAACGAGCTTAAGCGAGTGTTTGGTTTAAAACAGCTAAAATAGGGCTCTGTTTGCCACCAGCACATAGCTTTCCATATGAACAAGGAACTAGTTGTCACTGATGTCACTGATGGCATTACCCAAACATTTGAAAGTCAAATAGAGCAGAACACGTTATCCTCAGTGCAAAGGTTGCTTTTATAGGGGACTGAAAATTAGATTTCAACTTCTCAGACACGCCGCTCACATTTAAAGCGAAATAAACCAAGCTAAAAGAAGATAAAAATGTAAAACCTTAACTATGTAAGACTGCTAATGTCTCATTTTTTATGCACACTGGTGAATTATTTAACTCAAAGTGTTAATTTCACTCTTCATTTGCATTATGCACATGTATATGCAGAACATTTTTTTATGAAGTCTGGTTCCCTATTAAAAATGTACACAGTAACAAAAAATTCAGCATAAAAACTGAAAATGTCCTGGTAACTTTCAGCCAGTTTTTTTTTACAGAAGTTCCAACAAAATATTTTTCACAATTTAACATTTTTTCATATTAAATTTTTACCATAAATAACTTAAATTGCGGAAAATTTTTTGATGGAAATTCCATAAAAAACTGAAAATGTACTGGCAGAATATTACCAGGACATTTTCTGTTTTTACTGAATTTGCATAAGAATATTTTCTGTAATTTAACAGTTTTTCATCTTACATTTACCAACATTTCTGTTAACTAAAAACAGATTTTTTCCGTCTCCTCATATGTTCACAAACACTTATTTTTGAAAGCTTGCACATTTCCAAATATTTTTGTCTTCCAAACTGTGCAGCATGCAAATGCAAAGAAGATTCTGCCTGCAATGCCCAGGTTGTCTTTCAAAATGTGACTTTTATCACAGACAACTTCAAAACAGAAACTAATACAAGGAAAGGTTTTTCTTTATATTTTTAACTCTAGTCATTGTGTTTTATATGTGTTATTGTTGGGGCATTACCTATAATAAGGCTTAGAGAGTTAAGCTATTCAAATAAGTTTTTTTTTTTTCAGAAACAGTCATACTTATTTAATGGCCTGTTTTTATAGTGAAATGAATACTTACTGTAAATTCTCCTGTAACAGCATCGAAGCCGACATGGATTGTGTGTTCAAAGTCTGAGGGTAAGGATATCTCTGGACGTTCTTTTTCCTTCTTTTTGTTCGCTGCAAAAGCATAAACAATAGCGCATTTCTAATGTTAGTTTCTTTTTAATTACACGAATGAGCAATAAAACGGAGAGTAAAAGGTGCAGAACGATGATCACTTTTGTCTCCTCCGGGGAAGATGGAGCGCAGGCGAGCTTTCTTGTTCTTTTCCTCAGGAGCCATTGGAAGTGGTTTAGATGCGTGATTCACTGATGAAGAGTCTCGGGAATTACTGTTCATTCTCAAGGGGGGGGCTGGTGGCTTCTCTTCAATATCGACACTATCAGACATCTTTAGTAGCACTCACAAGATCCTGGCAGGAAAAACAGAGAGAAACGAGATCTGAGTGAGGACAAAGAGACTTTAAAGAACCAGGATTCAAAGGTTCACTTAGGAGAAAACACAAGAGAAAACCTGCTTTACTTTGGGATTCAGAGTTCAAAATTGGAATAGAATTTTATTATTTTAGAGTAACAATGTGTTTTAATAGCCTACAGTTGTTTTTTTCATTTTGAACGTGAAACACAGTCAGGCTGCATGTGACACAATTTCCAGACTGAAGTTTTTAGCATGTGAGGTTAATGGAAACCAGTAAGGAACCTGTAATTTTCCAATTGTAATTCTGACTTCAGATTCTAAGCCAGGTGATTAAGACTGTGAAAATCCTACCTTTGAGTAGAGAAACTTGGGTTATGGTTTCCAAGTAGGAACAAGTGACTTATCTTGTTCCAGATCATTGGTGTAAAGATTTCTGGCTGTTTGTTAATTGCTGAGCACCAACAATATGTTAACACCATGTTTCCAGTTATGGTTTGTTCAGGGGAATGTGTGATGTTATTTTGTTTCACAGGTTTGTGTGAATAGGTCAAAAAGTTCATTTCTTACACGTTTGTACATCCCCTGCTTGGATAAGAGAATAAATCCAAACAACACAGTGTTTTTTATGATTTAAATTTCACTCTTTATATAACTTAGAAACCCTAAATAGAGACAGTGTGTGAAAATAGCCCAAAAATTCCATAAATTGGCAACATTTTGCCACTACGCTCTGTAAATGCTGGGGTTTCTCGAGCTGTGGTGGCGTGCGCTGTCCAGTGAATCTTTTTAGCTGTGAAAGTAACCAGGATTTGACTCTAAGATAATCTGGCACGAGAAAAACTCTTCCATCATTCTCATCTTCCATCCACCCATCCCTCCGCCATGTTACACTCCTTCACTGCTTCACTGCTTCACCCTGAGGCCAGGCCTATCATGTGATATGCAGCACAGCCGTCCCAGAAAGCGGGACATCCAGGCGGCCCCCTTAGTGGAGACCTACATTAGCAAACAAAGACACACTCCCCTGGTCTACAACAGTGTGCACCGTCTCTGAAAAATTACACATTTGGTTTCACAGTGGCTAGAGGGACTTTATGCAACCATCGCTCAAGACAACAAAAATCTGACAAGGCACAAAAGACTCAGTTTATTTCCAGATACGGCGGAATTGGAAAGGTAGGAAGATGGAGCATAACAAAAAGCTACAACTGAATCAGATTTGTCTCCAAAAACAGCAATATTATGCTAGGAGCCACTGCATGGAGTGAAACATCTGCAACAGGCGGTAAAAACATGAGTGAAACTTAAACAAGTCACAAAAAAAACTTTCCTTTCAATTCCACAAGAATGTTTATTTAATTTGATATTTATCACTATTGTTGTGCAGAAAACAAACAAAAGAATTTAAATAACAACCCAATTGCACATTGTCTTTCTCCTCGGCTTTTAGGAACTTTTTTTTTTCTCTTCAGAAAGTAAAATGAACAGATTATTGTGAAAACAGCATCAGGATACTTTCATTTTGGAGAACTGTTATTAAAGGGCAGCTGTAAATTATTTGTGGAGGCCGGCCAGTGAACTGCTGAGCTGCAAAACGGAGCAATAAATGTTGGACACAAGTTATTAGCGGCGTAATGGTACACTTAAATCATCGTTTGGCATGCAGCTTGGTTTCTGGGTCACAGTTCAGTACAGGTACTGTGCAACAATAAAAGGAAACAAACACAAGTCCTAAACGTGAGGCTTGTTTTCACTTCTTTTAAGCAAAAATCTTTACAGACCCAGAGACATAAAAACAAAGCACCTTTTTCAGGCAGCAGGTTACGACTTCGAGGCAGGAGTTGTGTACTATGAAATTCACTTTAAAGTTAAAACTTTAAAATAAAAGCAGCAAGCAAAGCAAATGGCAACCATGTTTCAATATGTCAAGTAAGAAAACATGTAATTATTTTTTCCATTTAATGACCGATGTTAAAACTAAAGTTTAACGATGCAAAACACATCGTGAAAAATGTTTGCTAAAGGTGTTAAACCAGGTCCTTTACTGACGTGGTCTAAAGGGGAACTTAGTGAGGAAAAGTTCATCACTACACAAATGAATTCAAGGACAAATACCTTAAATTGAGCAAAACTGTTCAGAGGTCTGGCGCACCTACAACTCAAGCAGGGATTCACCCAGAGAGTGATAAACCACCAGGCTAAGCATTGCTTACTTATTTTAGTCTTTTTGAAATGTTTGCAACCTGCCGAGTCGGGTGAATGAACTACCAACCACCCGACTCGGCAGGTTTTCTGGGGAAAACCTTGTCAAGTGTTTGGTCATTAAAAGAAGAAATGTGAAAATCTTAATGCGACATTTCCAGACATCTGTCAGGACGTCAAAACTTCGACACCATTTCTTCCTCCATTCGGTGAACTCCAGTTGAGCCTAAAACAGATTTTTTCAGTATGATGTTGGGCATATAACTAACAACAAAACTAGCAAAGCTATGCTGTCTACAAAGAAATTTCACAATATCCACTCTAAAACAGCTTTGAGCAACAAATAAAACTCTTGTCAAGACAATAAGTAGTAGCAAAAATGTAACATCGGAAACAGGTACGTCTCCTGACATGCATGTGAACATGAATATCTGATCATTTTCTTAAGCATTTGTTCTGTTCTTCTAAAAAGAAAAAAAAACTAATAATAGACTAATAATAGACTGAAATGTCATTTTTAAAATATTGTCTTCATTAGTGCCATTAAATTTAGGAGTATTAATAATTATTCATATGTAATATTTTTGCTTATTGTAACAATACAAATACCCTGTTTTAAAACACATGTAAAATTAATCTACAGAATTTTTTTTAATCAACCAATATTAACATGTAAGTATTAAATAAGAAGTGACATCTATACAGTCAAGAGTTTAATAAGGTACGATTTTTAAAAACTAATTTTAGATGCATTTCAATGGGTATAATTAGAAAAAATATGATTGATAAAATAATAAAAAATTGACACATATTTTCTAAAGATTTATTCTGAGTAGAAACACATAAAAAACAGAAAAACAGTTGTTGTGTGCACATAGATTCAGTTTTAGAAAGTTGGGATCCTAATGTTAGCTGCCATGCTAACATTAGCTAGCATGCTCAACAATCATTACAAAAATACAAAACATTATATATTGAGAACTGGAATACATTCTTCAGCAATATTATTATTGCGTTTGGTGATTTTGGGATGTAGGTTGAAACAGTTTTCAGATCTCTACAGCAAATAAAGACGTAAATGAAATCTGCAGCCCTGAAAGCCACGTGTCCGTTTTAGTGATAACATGCCTGACAGCTGGCTCATGAAGCTGCTGGCTGGTGTGCGGGCCTGACGGCTAAAAAAGGCAGATTCATGAAGGCTCAGACATTAGTGATTCTTCACTCATATAAAACACTGACCTATTTACTGTGCAGACTGACATGCAGGGAAGGCAGTCACTGAGAACTTGGTCCCTGAAACAAGCACAGTCGCTTTCTAAATCACACATAAGCTCGTCTCTGAGCATTGTGCACTGGAGGATATACGTGCCTTTTCCTTGAAACTGGGGGAAAGTTATGAACATTGCACTGTAATCCACAGAATGCTAATTTATCAAACATATTTCGTCATGTTTCAGATGTAGCCTCCATCTGAAACCCTTACAGGCGTTAGTAGCTACAAAATATGGAAAGTAAAAATCCACCACAAAACAAACCAGCTCAGTTCAGATTTTACTGTGAACATTTTCATATTTCTATCCCATAAAATATTAAATTATCCATGAGGCAAGAGGAATTTTCTGCGCCCCTTAAACATTAATACTTATTTGAATGGCAAACATACGATTTTGAACCCCCGGCAGTCCAGTAATGGTCCCGCAGTGGGGGAAGGGCTCCATAAGCCCGGCTCTCCATGTGCCTGATTAGGACACGCTCTCTGTTTGCCTTGGCTTTAGCCGGGCGTCTTTGAAGGATGCTGATTACTTGGATGGGATGGACAGTTTGAGGACTTCCAAAGGATAAAGAGAAATGAAGGGAAACTCCACTGCAGCAGCTCTGACTATTGTTATCTTTTCCAATCTTAAAGATCTCTGGACAGCTCATTATGACCACTTTTGTTCAACTCTTCAGACAGCAGTCCCTCACTTTTAACAAACAGACTCAGCAACACTAAATAGCAAAAAAAAAAAAAAGGCACAACGAAACCACAGTGTGGGGCGATGACACACAGACGTCAACGTGCTGCTCACATGATTGCTTCCTCAAGGTCAGGCTGAAGCCCCAGAGTCGCAGCACCAACAGCAAAGACTTCAAAATACGAGCAACACTCGCTTTATAGAGGGAAAATCGATCAACAAGCCACAAAAGATTACAGAACTTTGTTTCAACTTTATTTGATTAAGACTGAGAATAAACAAAGCGAGGCCTTTTTTAATAGCAATAAAACCTATGAAGTAAAGCACAATCACTGCATTGTGCTTACATGTACCCACCAGTTAATCAAGAAGCTATTTTTATTCACATCTGTTCATACTTATAAAACAGAGATGAAAACTGTAGGAAATAACAAAAAAGTGCAAAATATAGTTGTTTTCTCTCAACATGTTATCTTTTAGGCTGTTCACATTTCTAACCTACAAATACTAAAATCTTTTTTTACATCTCTTAATCGAACAGAATGTCTCACCAGAACCTTAAAGTGATCACATAATAAATCACCAGCACCCTTAAAACAGGTGTTAGGTTATGTTTACATTTTTCTCCTCAATTATGACATCTGAGAATGACTCAAAAATTCTAAATTTCAAAATCTAAACTCATTAAACACTTAAAATACTCTTGATTTAAAATGACGAGTTCAGATGAATCTGTTCCTTTACAGATTTCTTTTTTTTTTTTTTGTTGTTGTTGTTGATGATTTCATATATTTGGGGAGATAAAGAAAGTTTTTTGAGATTATGCTTTTAGACATGT